ATTTTTATTGGTATGAAATTATTTGGAAGGGGGAATAAAATAAGATAGTATCTATTCTATAATAAAATTAACAATCTAATATATTTTTGATAAGAGAAAAATTTAATAAATTTCAATCTTTTCAAAGGGATATAATAAAAAAAAAAAATAAAATAAAAATTAATAAATAAATAAATAAATAAATAAATAAATAAATAAATAAACAAATAAACAAATAAATAAAACAAATAAAACAAATAAAACAAATAAAACAAATAAAACAAATAAATAAACAAATAAATAAACAAATAAATTAATGTATTTAAAAGATATCAAAATTAGTTTCTATTTTATTATCATTATTTGCAATTTTTTTTTCTAAAAATTTATATTCATTATAAATTTAATTAATATATAATAAAATAAAGGTTTTAAACAAATGGTTCTTAGGTTTTTACCATTAAATAAAATGATCCTGGATTTTTTTTGTATTAATTGCTAACCACGAATTTTTGACTTACCCCTTCAATATGAATGGTGCAAAGGTTAACACGACTTTTATTAATTTATTTTTAAAAGAATTTTTAGTAATTTAATTTTGATTATTTAATTTTTGTTATTTAATTTTTGTTGATTAATTTTTTTTTGGTAATTTTTGTTATTTAGTTTTTATTTGTAATTCATCGATAGAGTTCTGTAGCTTTCCAGGTTTCACTCTAAATATATCTGAATTCAATATCTTGCTAAACTTCTCTAACCTGTTGACTATCTTCATTTTGTGTGGTGTCGTTGACTAGATGGATCTTGGTGTTGAAGTTTCTTATATATATTTTATTTAAAATTTTTATGATGTTTCTGTGTATCCTAATACTGAAAATAGATTGGTCTAAATAGAGTTGATTTGAAAGTTATTTTGTATATTATTTCTAATTAAATTAATTTTTTTCACTTTTATTTGCTACTGGGAGTTGCTTTAATTTCTAGATTTTGTTTTCTAAACCAAACTTAAATAAGGACTACAAAATAATTTTTTTCATCTATTTATATTATTCGATGTTTTACCATATTTACTTGGCCAGAGTAAATTTGATAATGTTAATCAAATATTTCATTAGATTGAAAAATTTCATTTGAGTTCACTTGACTAATTCATTTTAAGTTGGTTTACAATTATTAATATTATTTTTTTTTTTTTTTTTCATTCTTTTTTGTTTTTTTTTTTAATTTTTTTTTTTTTTAATTTTTTTTTTTTTTTTTAATTTTTTTTAAATATAATATTTTTAAATCTAGAAGTTCTAACCAAAAGGGTTGATATAAATCTCATCCAACTTGAACAATATTTATAATAGCAATACAAATAAATGTTTCTGTGATTATTATTTGCCTTAAGTGATCTATTTTGGAAATAACTAGAATTGGACCATAGGAAATTACTTGCTGGTGATAAAGCACTGTTATTTGTTACTGTAGTTGTGGATGTAGTAGTGGCGGATTCAACACAGAGAATGGTAGCGAGGGGGAAAACAATGAAGAAGAAGAAGATGGTGATGATGATCATAATGGTTATGATGATCATGATCACGATGATGCTGATGACGGTGGTGATTATGATGCTGAAGATGGTGATCACGATGATGCTGATGACGGTGGTGATTATGATTCCGATGACGATGGTGATCATGAAGATCATGATGATGATGAGAGGGCTGATTATGATGATGAGAGGGCTGATCATGATCATGATGATGATCATAAAGGGGCTTACTTCTGTTGGCTCTACTCTACTACTATCTACTTTTCCACCACTGATGGCATTAAAAGAGTCATTACTATTATTTACCGCATCTATTAAATCTTTTCCTTTTCTATAAACACCACCCATTAAATTTAATGTGGCAAAAATGTTGCTATTGTTTTTAATTAAATAATTTGAACTTAAAATACCATCTTGGATTGATTTACAATTTGGGAAATTATTAAAACCACAATCATAATGTTGATATGTTGAAGTTTGGGTATTAATAAAAACTTCACAGGTTTCCTCACCACAAGTCGAAAAATTAAAAACAAATATTATTAAAAATAATAATATAAATTTAAGCATTTTGTTTTTTTATTGATAAAATATTGATGGGTTATTTTTTTATTACTGTCTCCTAAAAAAAATTATTTTTTATAAAAGATGGAAAAAAAAAAAAATATAATAAAATCTAAGACTGGCTATATGTAAAGGGAAAAATTCATTAGTATTTATTTTTATCACATATTATATATATATACATATAATTACCTATATGTTTGTTAGCTTGAATTTTAATTAATATTATTTTTTATTGATTTTAAATAGAGTAATGAAAATATTATTGAATTAAAAAAATATAAAAAAAAATATAAAAAAAATTAAAAAAAAATTTTTATTAGTTTCTGTTTAAAATTTGGTGGTAGAGAGTTTTTTTAAAAAAAATAAAGTTTTTTTTATATAGGTAGTTCAGTTATTACCTTTTTATTAAATTCAGCATTATATATAAAAATATTATTTAATTTGAAAATTTTCTTTTGAATGATATAAACTTTTTTTTTCTAAAACTGTTTTAAAAAAAAATTAATTAATTTATCATCTATATCAAAAAATGATCTATAAAATTTAATTAAATTGTATAGAACATTATATTATGATTATTAAAAAAAAATTTACATTATAACCAAAAACAAATAAAATAAAAAATAAAAGTAAAAGTATATTATAAATTTTATTAAATTTTTTTTATATTTAAAAACTAAACTATATTTTTTGATTTCTATTCTTATAATGAACTGTTTGTTCTACTTGAGATTCATATAAATTATCTTGTAGTATTTGAGTAAAATAAAACCATATCTAAATTGTAATTTGTTTTGATATTATAAGGCATTCTTTGTTCAAAGTAATATACAATACTTGCAGTGTTGATTTAGTAGATGAATTAATTAAATTTTTTATTTAACATTCTATATTCATCCCATCTATCCTTTTTGCCTTTGCTTTGGATCTCTTTAATTGTTTCTTTTCGGCTGACCCCTGTCTATGGACTACCTGAACTAATGATACCTGGGCTTTGCCATTAAACTCTGATAAATAATTTGTCACTAACAATTGATAACGGTAACTAAACGCAAACTGATATCCACAAAAGCTTTATTGCTGTTAATGTTCTTTTGAACGGTATAATAATGAATTTTTTTACTTAACCTATCTGTAATTACGAATTCACTATCGCTTTCATTTTTTTTGTTGGCAAATTCATTAAATCCATTGCCATCGTTTCATGGAAATCCAAAACTTAAGGTGGATTTAACATACCATACTTGTTTTCTTTGATTGTTGACACTCCTTACATGCTACATAAGAAGCTATTTTTTTGCCACAATGTTTCTAACATTTAATCCTAATCTTGTTCAACCAATGTTCCCTGAATGAAATTCTTCTAATTCTTTTGTAATATGTTTCATGTCTATTAAAAATAATTTATATTTTGATGTTGTTGGATCTAAAATAAACTAAAACATATACTTGTTGCTTGACTATCATTATTACCAAGAAAGTGAATACCATTAGAGTAACATTTAATTTTAGGAAAGTACCTTTTTAGATTGGATGATAATTGAAGTGAAATATAAGAGCACCAGAAATCTAATGTTTTTGAACAATCACTAAATGCTTTTTATTTTGAATAAAAAGACAAAGCATTTCTTCTCTCATTTCCAACATTTCTATATTGTAATAAAGAATTTTTTGATGATTAGCAACGTTTGCCAATATTCTAAATTGTTTAGGCTTTGTGCTTTCTCTTAGTGTTGGTGGTTCTTGATCTATATATTTGAGAGCATTCAATAAATGATAATATTCTAATTTTAACTGGCCAACGTTAAAAAGAGCTAAATCAAGTTTTCTAGTGATTGAAATAATTTTGATTGGATCCTTTCTGGAGCTAATTCTAAGGAGATCGGAAATACTTATAGATTTTCTTGCTATTATACGTGCCTACATCACTTGTGTAGATTTGTTTTTGTTGAACATTGGACTTACTAATATTCTAACTTCTTAGTTGGATATCACCACAAAACCATGAAGTTCTTAATTGTAGTCGGTTCTGTATATAAATTTTCGATAGTTTGATACTTCTATCTGAAATTATATTAAACTTTTGTTATGTGTCTTGAATAAATAATAATATCAAAAGCATTCTATCTTCTGAACCAGTAGCAAATTTGGAGCTATTAAATTGTAAAAGATCAATATCGCATAATCGACTTCCAATTTTAATACATGGAACACTGGTTTAACGACCTTTACTAGGAAGTGGAATATCAGCTAATTGAACACCAATACCTTGATATGGAACAGCAACATATTCACGATTAACAGGCTTTAATTTTACAACCATTAGCTTTAGATTGTAAAATTGACTCTTTTAACACTTTGAAGACCGTCAACTACTTGAACTGATTCACCAGTACGTGGAACAACAACTCTATTCTAAAAATCTTTACCCAGTAACAAATATCAAACTAATTTATCTTGACCAACAGATGCATAATATTTACAGCTCTTGGATTGAAAGCAATGGATTCAACAGATTTTGATGCATACACATTTCTTGAAGCAGCTAATTGAGCACCAATACCTTGATATGGAACAGCAACATGTTCACGATTAACAGGTTTTAATTGTACAACCATTGCTTAAATATTTGTTTAAAATTGACTCTATTAGCACCTTGAAGACCATCAACTACTTGAACTGATTGACCAGTACGTGGATCAACAACTCTATACAACTAATTTCATCAACTATAAATTTTTTTCTAAGTTACAATTACCAGCGGAATCTATAAAAAGACAACAACCAGCAATAAATCTAGGGACATTTGATTATAATTATTTAAATGGCTGAATATAATGTAAAAAATATCAATTAATATATAGTTTAAAAAAATAGTGAATAAATAAAATATTTAAATATTTACCTATGGAAGGGATTTTACAATTGGCATAATGAGCCGTAATGGTACTCTGAAATGTGGGATAATAAAACATAATAGTTGCTTTTAACTTTTGGTTTAATTTCGATGAAGAAACCAGTTTGGGAAGCAACTGATGATATAATTGTAATATTAATTTTAAAGATTTCAGCTGCTGCGACTAAAGTTAAATGATCACCCCATGTACCATTTTTTGACATATTGTTGCAATATTCTTCCCAACTTGAATCATAGACAAAGTCTGATAGGGTGGCACCATTGGGAAGTTTAAATCCTCCATTGATTCTAAGCCAATTAACAATTACGGTTCTAATTAAAGTACTATGGTCCAAGTCACCATAGATTTGATCAGATAGCGAATGCATCTGGCAATTTCCATCGCCTGGAATTTCCCTTCTGATCATTAAACCATATAATTGTATACGTTCATTTAAACGTATCTCTGCCATTTGTGATTGGCTCAATTTATGAGGTTGAACATTTGACAAACCTCTTGAATTTACCAATGGTGTATCGATATCCATTGGAACCATCTGGTCATTAATCATTTGTGCTGCACTCTGTTTTTGTTGTTGGAGTATTTGTTGCTGTTGGGGTCTTTGTTGTTGTTGTTGTTGATATAATTGTTGTTGTTGGACTCTTTGTTGTTGTTGTTGTTGCTGATATAATTGTTGTTGTTCGAGCCTTTGTACTCTTTGTTGTTGTTGTTGTTGATAGAGTTGTTGTTGATAGAGTTGTTGTTGATAGAGTTGTTCCTGTTGTTGTTGGTAAAGTTGCTGTTGGTAAAGTCTCTGTTGATATGCTCTATTTTTTATCTCTTCAAGTCTTTGACGTTCTTTTTCTTGCTGTTTCAAGTATTCTATATTGTCATTGGAGATACAGTATTGGCACTTTTCCTTTTTAATAGAGCATTGGCAACCGTGTTGAATGTTGGTGTTTTTTTTGAAAATGAATGGACCAAAATAATATAAAAAAATGACACCAAAACCAATAAATAAAGAAATACATATTAATAAAAATTTATCCATTTTTGTTAAAAAATAAATAATTATTTGAAATAAAATAAAATGTATATAGGTGTAAAAATAAAAAAATAAATTTTATGATTTAATGTAAAAAAAAAATTAAGCTGGATGTAAAAAAACGAGTGTGTGAATGAAAACTTTAATTTTAATAAATGAAAAAAAATTAAAAAATTAAAAAATTTTTATAAATTATAAAAAAAAAAAAAATTAATTAAAATTTAAAAAAAAAATAAAATTGTTTAATATAGACTTTATTTTATTTTTTAGTTTTAAATTGAGAATTTTAATTAAATCTATATTTTGATTTGAAAAATTCATTAAATTCTCTTTTAAATGATATCCTGAATACCAAGTTAATTGTAAAAAAAAGATTTAAAAAAAAAAAAATATTAATTAATTTCAAATATTATTTCTATATTTGGTTTAATAATTTATAAGTTTAATTCTGAATATATAATAATTACTATTTATAAAAAATATTTAGTTAATAAAAGATTGAGAATTTATTTTTAATTTACTTTTTAGTTTTAATTTTATTTATTTTTGAACTTTAATCCCACCATTATTAAAAAAAAATTTGTATGTATTATGAATGGTTTTATTTTTTTATTAATGAACAACTGTAGTAAATACCAATTCCAGTATTTCCAACTAACTTAAGAATTAGCTTCAAGAACCAATCTCATTCAGTATAAATACCTCAAGTCCTCAGTCTAAAACTTCAGAGGTTTTTTATTCTATATTATTCAATAAACTACAATTTCATTTCACATATAATATTAATATATTGTTGTTTATTTGTTATACTTATTTTACATGTATTTGTATAATAAAGTTTACAAATAATTTGTAAGCTATATAGAGCTTCATTACAAATTATGTAAAAAGCCTGGATGGCTCAGTAGGCAGAGCGAGCGGCTGTTAACCGCTAGGTCCATGGTTCGATCCCATGTCTAGGCGATTCTTTTAGTTTTAAAATCTTCCTGGTGGTTTTTTTCAAGAAATCTACGATGCGGGGGAGCAATGATGGCCAAGTGGTTGATGCACCGCTACAGGTTCAAATCCCAGTCTCGCAGGTTTTTCTAATCACATTGTAACACCTGGTTAATACCTTAACGACAATTGATTGCACACAGGCAATATCCTTCAATTTAGCTTCCTATTAGCAATTGAGTTTCTTGATTCTATCTGAACCAACCTGTTTCGACCTTTGATTCATCAAACTATACTATAACCACCATAGTTTTACTACTCTTACCGAATAAACGCAGACCCAAAGGTTTTTGTTAAGAACAGTAAGATCGTAAAAAAAAAGTGAGATGGAGCTACTTTAGTTATAGATAAATAATATATATATATAATTCTATTAATCAAATAAATATACAATAATTTGTTTGTGAAAACTAATATTTATTGTGGATTGGGTGCAGATTTAGGTTCAATCATTGGCGGGTTTTATATGAACATAAATCACCAATGTATTTATTCAAATTTACAGCTATCGCAAAAACATTTAGTTTAATTGTTTTCACTTTAAACCAACTTTATTTTTCAAAAAAAAAAAAAAAAAAGAAAACAATAATAAATAAAAGGATTATTTTTAAATTAAAATTTTTATTTATTTATTTATTTATTTATTATTTAAAAAAAAAATAAAACTCTGGTTTTGTTAAATCTATTAAATCCAAAACTTTGAAAGGAAGATAAAAGATATTTTTTGAGATTGTAGTTAATGATGTGATGGGTATTTAACTTGATGTGGTGGGGATTGAGGGTTTGGTGTTGGATTTTGTGGGTTAGAATGTTGTATGAATATGATCTTGCTATTGTTATTACTATTGTTATTGTTGTAGTTGGAAAAATATTTATTTATAAAATAAACCTATGAAAAACTGATGATAATAAATAAAATGTAAAAAAATTAATAAATAATTCATTTTTAAATGGTAGTTAATAAAGATTTATGTGAAAAGTGAAATTAGTGTAGATTATAAATTATTTAATATATAAAAAAATTATAATTTCTATTATTAAAATTTATTAAAGGCGCGGAATATTATAATAAAAAAATTAAAAACGTATTACTATAAAATAAAAAAGCAAATTAAAAAAAAAAAAACAAAATACTATAAAAGAAAAAAGGAAAATTTCAAACTCTGCCACAAAAAGAAATGAAATGTAAATGAAAAAGTGTGTGGTTGATTATTATAATAAATTTTTTTTAAAAATGATTATTATAATTTAAACAATTTTACATTTTTATAAAATTCCGATTGCAATTTTTCTAATTGTGGAAATTTTTAATAAAATTAATTTTTATTTTTAATTTTAAAAAAAATTTTCATTTTTGAATTTAAAAAAAAAAAGCATTAAATTTTTTTTTTTTTCTTTTTTTAAAAATAATAGCTTTCAAAAACACAATCTTTTACATTCAAATCAAGTTTATTTTTTTGCATTCATCAAACTCAAATTCACACATAAATATTATTTGTTATTTACACAAACACCCATATATTTTATTTTATAAAAAATAATTTATTTTTTGTAAGTTATCAAAATTTATCATTTATTATTTTTATACCCTATTAATTTTTTTATTTATTTATTTATTTTTTTTTATTTTTTGTTTTTATTTTATTTGTAGATAAATAATATTTAAAAAAATAGAAAAATGATTAATATTGTTTTATATTTTTTTATTTTTATCATTTTTTTCATTTTATATTTTTTTATTAAAAAAATCAGAAGAAACAACCACAAATATGAAGATAATTACTACGAGAGCGATAAATGCAATGACTTTTTTTATGATGATGATTACTATGAAGCATATCATAAAATTAATAACCCACCACAGGAGCCACAACAACAACAAAAACCAAATCCACCACAATTATCTCAACAACAACAATTACAACAACATTCACAACCACAATCACCTCAAAAACAACAACAAAAACCACCACAACTAAAACACACTTCATCAATGCCCGATTATAAAAAACTATTTAGGGCTATGGATGAATATGAAAAACTACAACAAGAACTAGAACCAGAATCAGAATCACCATCAACATCACAACATCAACATCAACATCAAAATCATCAACAACATCATCAACAACACCATCAACAACAACAACAACAACAACAACAACAACAACAACAATCAAAACCACAAACACAACAACAATCAACTCCAGATGTAAATTCACATATTATTGATGGTCAAGGTCAAAATTGTGAACCAATGGACATCAACTCAGCTGTAGAAGACTATGCAGCTTTAACACGTTTATATGATCGTTTGGATCTCTACAATTTGGAGAACAGTAGGGATATTCCAGGCGATGGAAATTGTCAGATGCATGCTTTATCTGACCAAATTTTCGGTGACTTGAATCATGGTGCCGAAATTAGAAGAGCTATTGTTGCATGGCTCAGAGATAATAAAAATTTCACCCTCAATAATGGTGCAAAATTATTCCAATTTGCAAATACTAATGATTGGAATAGATATTGCAACCATATGTCAAGAAATGGTACATGGGGTGATCATTTGACTTTACTTGCTGCTTCTGAATTATTGAAATCCCAAATTACAATAATTTCATCAGTTGAATCTGAAAGAAGCTCAATAATTGAAATAATTCCAAGTTCAATTCAAAATAGTAGAGAAATTTTATTATCTCACCATGCTAAACATTATGGCTCATTGCGTTCAAAACCATAATCAGTAGTTATGGATAAATAATTAATATGTAGTGACATTGGTCTATTAAATTTCGGTATTAGCCCAGCTAATCAATAATTTATAGACAGAAATGGTATGTAAAATAATATTCTTTTTAAAAATTAATTTTAACATATATTAATAAATTATTTATAAATAATTAGGTTCATTAAATTAAAAGCTGCATCGGCAGTTCTCCCAAACGTGTTGAAAATCCAAGTTGATATTAAATGGTAGTTGAAAAATCGTTTCAAATGGTGGTTCAAATAGTGCTTCAAATGGTGTTTTAAATGGTTCTTCAAGTGGTGGTTCGGTGGTTCAAGTATCGCCTCATATGGTGCTCCAAGTGGTGTTTCAAATATCGTTCAATATAGTGGTTACAGTAATAGCGCTGAAAGTGGTGCTTCAAATGGTCTTCCAAATGGTCTTTAAAATAGCTCTTCAAATTGTTCTTCAAATGGTGCTTTAAATAGAGCCTAAAATAGGACTACATATGGTAGTTAAAGTAGTTAGCCCCACTATTAATTTATTATAAATTCTCAAAAAGACATATTACATTATAATTTATTTAATTCTTCATAGTTAAAATTGAAATAAGAAGTTATCATTACAATTTTTATTCTATTTGAATATCTTTATATTCCTTTTTAAAAATTAATAAAATAGTTATAAACAAACAAAATATTAAATTTTAAAAAAAAAACTATATATCAAAGGTTTTTTTAAAAAATATAAAAAATAAAACTAAATCTTTAAAAGAAAATTAAATTTATTTTTAATTTTGTATATTAATATAATTATATTAATTTGGCTTTATTTTTTAAATATTGACTTTTCTATTGCTATTAGTTAATATTATTTTATTAATTATTATTAATAATTTATTATTTATTATTTTATATTTTTTATTTGTTACTATGGTATCCTAAACATGAGATTGAGTAAAACAAGATAATTAAAATGCTTTAAATTAATCAGTAAAAGAAAACTTGTTTTCTTTTTCTTTTTGTCGAATGAGATCTTTTCTATATCTGTGTATTTGCTGAAATGAATTATATGTTCATCGGATATTTGGAGATAGTGAAGATAGAAGATTATTTTTTTTTTTTTTTTTTTTTTTTTTTTTTTTTTTTTTTTTTTTTAAAAGTGAAGATGATTCTTAATGATAAATTAAGTCATCAGTTTATTGTGTTTGGTATGTGTTAATGCTTATATGAGTTTTACCACACTGCATACAAGTTGGGCACGGTAACGTCAATTCGTGTGGGATTCGGAAAACTTGCTGAGACTGGGTTTCGAACCCGGAGCGGTAACTTGTAGGAAATTCGTTCGACCACTTGGCTATCATTGCTCCCCCGATTAACACATTTGAGGAATATAAACTCCGGGAAGATTTATAAAAAATTAAATCGCCTAGACATGGGATCGAACCATGGACCTAGCGGTTAACAGCCGCTCGCTCTGCCTACTGAGCCATCCAGGCTTTTATTCACAAAATTTACATACTACTGGTGTATCAACACTTTTATATTATAGTTATTATTACCATATCTTTAACTAAACAGTATTTCGCAAAAGTTTTGACCCCCATATAAAAAATATATGAAAAAAATTTAATTTTAATCATATCTTAAGTTTTTGACTATAAATCCATTTTAAAAATATTTATAAATAAACTTATAAGGTTTTATTATTTTTTTTTTTGTTAAATAAAATTTTAAAATTTATTTTTTTAAAAAAATTTTTTTAATTTTTTTTTTAAAGCGCCCATAGAAAATGGGGTCTAAATTTTTGAGAAGATAATTCAATTTTATAATAATTTTTTTATATATTTAAAATTTTTTTTAAAAACAAATAGGACAGAATATTCATAAAAAATAGAAAAAAAAAACAATAATGACCCTTTTTTTAGAGTTAATAAAAATGATTATAAAAATTTACAGAAAAGGAAAAAGTCATCAAAAAGATAAAGATATAATGAGTGAAGTAGGTCCTCAGTTAAGAGAATTTTAAAAAATTAATTTAGAAAAAGGTACAATTGAAGAAAATCCAATACCTGACATAATAAGAAAAATGGGCGACCCAATTGAAAGACATTGCAGAAAAAAAATTTTAAATGGGAAATGTTATAATTTAAGTAATACAAAAAGACATATTCGAAAAAACTTTCAAAAAAATGTTTCAATTAGTGCAACTAGTAGGTCTTTACAACATAATAATGTTTTTTTTAAAAGTTTAAAATGTAAACATTTTCCTTCCGAAAAATCTTAGCTCAAAGCTAAGGTGGGCAAAATAGTTCCAAAATTGGGCAGCTGATAATTGGGAAAAGGGTAATATTTGTTGACGAAGCCAGAATTGAAGGATTTTCTAATTAAATGGAACCTAAAAAATGGATTCATGGTGTAAGAAACCTTCAAAGCAACATTTTGGCCAAACGAAGATGAAGCGGCAGCTCAATATATACATGATTCTGTGGCACAGCTCATGGTGCAGGTCGTATATGTATTGTCAGGTTTAACACTAATCCTGAAAAATATTTAGAAATAACAATACAGAGTTATAGAAGAACTTTACAAGAGAAATCAATTTTATCTGGTGATACGTTTTTTTTACAAGAGAATTGCTCTATTCATATGACCCAATTATTGACCGGTTTTTACGAAAAAATGAACATTAGGGTGATATTTGTTCCACTCTGTGCACCAGTTCTTAATATTATGGAGAATATATGGTCAATGGTAAAACGACGTATAAACTTTATTTCTATCAGGTATCCACGTCATAATTTCAATCTATTAATTGGTAGAATTTTGAAAAATATTAAACAAGATATATTTGATAATCTTTATCAATCAATCCCAAGAAAAATACAACAAACAAATAAGAATTAAGGTGGATTAACAAAATATTAAAAAAAAATCATAAAAAAAAAAATTTCTTTTAAAAAATAAAATTATATATTAAAATTTTAATTATCTTTTTGAAAATAATGAACCCATTTTTTTTATATGTAAAAAAAAAAAAAAAATTTTAAAAAATAAAAATTTTATTTTATTTTTTTTTATAAATAAATATAGTTAAGATGTTTTGAAATTTATTTTATATTTTTTTGAATTATTGAAATTAAAATTATTGAAGATAAATAAAAAAAAAAAATTTTTAAAAAAGGGGGTCAAAACTTTTGCGAAATACTGTAATTAATTACCACTAATTACAACATTATTCATTTTTTTAATGATATTTATCACTTTTTATACAATTCATTTTATTTTTACACACTTTTGTTGATTTTTATATAGTCTACATATATCACCACATACACTTTCATTAACTGTTTTAAATAAATCCAAAATTTTCTTTGATTTTTTAAAACTTTTTTAAGTAGACGAAATCTAATTGAGATCTCACTAGTTGATCGGTGTATCTCTTTTATTTATTCTTTCACAAACAAAATTTAAAAAAATAATAATCAAAATAATGGTGATGATAACTTGGATACTAATAATTGCATTATTCCACTACAAAATAATCAACATTCTGCTCAAAATCCATTTTATTTACTAAATACTCTTTAAAATACTTATCCAGAATACCTAAAATGTATTCCAAAATTTAATAAGTCTGGTCACCTAAATAACACTTTTAACATACTAAAAAACCAGAACTATTAAAACAAAAATTACCATCCAAAATCATCATATAAATTAAACACAAATTTTCAAAAAAATTTTTTAAAAAATATTATTAATAATAATGAATAAATCCTTTTTTTTTGAAACAAAAACTACACCACATCACAACATAACCAGTATAATCTAAAACTACACTGGTGCATCTAAGGTAAACAGAACCAAAGATAATACTACCACAACATTCACATATGATTTGACAAGAAATATTTTCCTAAAAAATCATCCAAACAAAACATTATTAAAATCAACATTGAAAAAGGAATATTAGAACCAAAATTCACAATTCCAGAACCATTTGGCTTACAACCAAATAGTATACCACTTTATGTTGATTTTAATGCAATGTTACTAACATTTTTACCATTAAACTAGATGATGAAATTATACCTTAAATTCATCATACCCTACCACTATTATCTAACCAAAAATTAAACCTACCACTTTATTTACCACCAATAAATGATTCATTCGAAAACGAATGTTCACATTTATTTATTACCACTTATTTTTCTTTTTTTTTATTTTTCATTTTTCATTTTTCTTTTTTCTTTTTTTTTTTTTTAAAACAATATATCATTTTATTCTAAATAAAAGATATATATGGCATCTGTACATATCCATAGTCAACCGAAAGGATTAACAAGACTCTACGCCAATGCACTAAAGTTATACCGAGCTGTATACGTGCTATTTAACTGGATAGAAGGTTTCCTTTGCAAGGAAACACTAACCCAAGGTTCTCCGTACAAGATGAAACTTATGCTATGCTAAACTGCCAAGGGCTGTAATGTTTAATTCATATTCTATTAGCTAAGATGCGGGCATCTTTTATGAAGTAACACCACCTTAAAAGAAAGTTGGATCTCCGGAAATTTATTATTCTTGCAATAATAAATTAAGTTACCTCAGAATAATTCAATTTATTCAACCAAAATTGCAACGGTTTAATTTTGCTTCAAGCAATATCTGGTCAATTCAGATACTTAGGTCTTATAATTAATAAAATAATAAAATGGAATAAACATTCCAATATATTTTTAAAAAGCAAAAAGCCATCCAGGCTTTTTTCATGTTATTGTAATGAAATGACCCCCTATTAAGTTAACTAAAATACTTAAATAAAGGTCACATGTGACATTTTCAACTAAATATATTATTTATGGAAGATTATTACTATTTTAAGAGTTATTTATTATAAAACTAATTATTACTATTTTAAGAGATATTATTATAAAACTAATTATTACTATTTTAAGAATATTATTATAAAATTAATTTTTTAATTTATTTTTTTAATTTTTAATTTTTTTTTTTATTGCAATTTCAAAATAAAAAACTTTTTTATTTTTTTTTTTCTTTATTATTTTATCAATATACAAATAATTATTTACATTTATTATAATAATATTCAATAATAAAATTTAATATCATCAATAATTTTTTATATAAATAATATAACACCACTAAATAATTTATCTAATCACCATTCACTCTTCTTATCTACAATTTAATACAATAATGGATTTTTTTAATTTTGGTTTTTTCTTTTTTGTTGTAGTGATTTGTATTTTATCTCAAGAAAATAATATTGAACAATGTAAATTGGTTAAAGAAAGGGACTCACTCAATGCTAAATTAGAAAATCAATTTAGCAAATCAAATCAATTACAAGAGAAAATATTAGAAAAAGACCAAATTATCCAAATGCTTGAAAAAAAGCTTTTATCAGAACAAATAGCTGTAGTTCAACTCTCTTGTGAACACAAACAAACATTGGATATATTGAATCTTAGATCATTATGGATCCGATCGATACCTTGCTAACCATATGGATATTGATTCATATTGAAATCGATGGAGATAAAATTAATAGTTTAGTTCTTCTTTCAATGTTTCACCTATGAGCTCGGAGAAGACTAAATTATTATATCGTTTCATTCAAATTTTCAATTTATGATTTCGATAAAGTTGAAAACAGTTAACAAGTGTATCATCAAAGAAAAATATCAATATTATTAAAAAATTATTTAGGTAACTATAAAGATTTTAATTGCATAATTATTATTATCTTTGAATATAATAGAAACTAATATTTAACTTTAATTCTTATTTAGTTTAATTCATTAATTTCAGGTCTTGTTTCAAATCAAGCTTTTCATTTAAAAGCTCGCAACCATATCACCACCATCACCACTTAGGGATTTCTATTCCAGTTATTTAGAAAAGGGTCCCATTCAAGTTTTTCATTTAAAAGTTCGCAATTCGCCACCACTACAATCCTATTCAATTCAAATCTATCTTATTAAAAATTAATATTTAAATTTAATAATAAAAATATTTTATTAATTTTTATGACTTATTTCTTTATTTTACTTTTGTATACTATATTTTATTTAATCTTTTTCATATTCTCCCCATTAATTTTGATTTTTGATTTATAACCAGTCAAAAAAATAAAAAGATAATGTAAATATAAAAGTGTTTTAGGTAAAGCAAAAAGTTCCAATTAGTGATTGAAAATATACAAAGGTTTTTATTATTATAAGAAAAAATGATTATTAATATTATTATCACTTGTTGTGAACTCCTCCATCCTTTTTTTTATTGAGAACATCATATACAACAGCTTGAATTTGATGATTCCATTCTTTGAGAAGAACACATGATTCAATGGTAGAGTCTTTTAGATGATGTCTTTTATGGGTAACAATATTCTTTCCATTCGAAAAGGTTCTTTCGACTTCGACTGACGAGCATGGAGTAGCCAAGTAATCACGAATAAGAGAAAAGAGAACTGGGAATCTCTTTTGGTTTGAAACATCTTTCCAAAAGCTGATATTTTCACCATTGTTACAATTTTCGAGTGGTAAATATTCGCAAATTTCATTATGTGCGCTATAGATTTCTTGGTTTGCTTTCTTTTTTTTCCAAAATGGAATGGTAGTGTCTAATAAATGATTATAGTCATCTGGATCTTGTTCGATACCTAATAAACTTGCTCTTTTTGAATAAAGTAAATCTAAATTATGAAGATGGAATGATTTTTTACTGGTTGCTTCATTATCTAGAGCAATAGATGATATTTTATCTTCGATGCCATACTCTTGGAAGACTGACAAAAGATGGCTTGCTATGTTTTCAGCTGTTTTCTTTTCTGTAAATGATTGAATTGATAACAATAAAACCCTAGAATTCCTATTTGCATCAAAAAATTGAACCTTGACAGCTATAAATGGAATACCATTACCAGAAGTCCAAATATCGGTTATTGCACCCAATTGACCTGGAATTTTTTTAATCTTTTCTTTGAGAACTATCTTAACATCTTCGACAATAGCGAGTACTTCATCTTTAACAGTAACATCACTTATTAAAAAAGATGTTCCAACAGACTGATTAATAAAATAAAATATGTTAACATTAATTTATATTTAAGGTAAAAAATAAAAATATTGTATAATTACCATTTGGAGAAGTTTATTCATATACATGCAACTACTTGTTTGAAAAGGGAGATCATTAACAATGACATCATTGGCATAATGATATCGAAAATTGAGTGGCGTTAAGTGTATATCTGGACCGTTTTCGGATGAATTGATTGGGGTGGCAGATTGCATAATGCTCTCTTTTGGCTTTTCAAAAACTCTAAACGATTTAATTTGAGCTTCATTATGCGATTGGTAAAGTGCAACTACGTTACATTCTAATGGATCGCCTATATTATTAGAAAAAATATTAATATAAATAAATATCGAAATAATTTTTATTACAATAAAAATAATTATATTTACCATTTAATAAATGATATCTTGTATTTGAAACTGAGTTTGTAATGTGGGTGCATTTTGTTGGAACCTTGTAAAAGTGATCGAAACAGACCCTATAGTTGTTTTCTTTTCTGATATAGTATTTCTTAAGCTTGTAAACCTCAGTGGACGACTTTAAATATTTAACTTCTTTTCCTTTTTTCTTTGGTGGTGAAAAACGTGATACTAAACTTGACTTTAAAGAATTCGAACTTTTTTTTGATGGAGTTGAATGGTGAGGATGGCGGGGAAATAGTTTGTTGAGCTTTTCCTAAATCTTTCTTTTCTCGAATGGTGTGTTTAATAAGTCCTGGTGAGTGTAGTTTTGTTTTAGATGATATATCAACTAACTGTTGATCAATGTTTAAATTGTTTGAACGGGTAGGTGATTTTTTCATCTGTAATAAATTAAAAAAAAAAATTAATATAAAATAGTTTATTAAACCTTCCAATGTATATTACTTTTAAATGAGTTCTTTTAGTTTTACAGAATCAATAAAAAAAACTTTGCTTTTAAAAAAAAAAAAGAAAGAAAAACGAAAGATTAATAAAATGCATTGTAAAACCTAGTGTTGATGCAATCTAGTTATTTGTTGGGTCTATTTATAGAGCCAATTTAGAAAATGTGTAGAATAATATGTTTATTTTTAAAAAAAAATAATAGTAAAAAATTCTACCTTTTTCTTTTGATTTGGATTTGTTGAGGTTTTAGTTAAACTAAAATAAATACATACATTTTAAAAATAAATATAATTATGAATACGTATATTATAATTTAATATTGATTATTGTTTTTTTGGAAAAAAAAAAAAAAAAACAATAATAATTCGACCTTTTTGTTTTGGTTTTGTATTGGTTGAGGTTTTTATTAATAAAAATGAAAATAATTTTATATTTAAATTAATGTACGAAAAAATAAAAACAACACTATAATGTTTTTTTTAAAAATTTATTTTTATTTAAAAGTTTTTTTTTTTTGAAATACAATAATACAATATTGTCATTTTATTATTAAAGAGGTGTGAATATAAGCATCAACAGTGACAAATGGAGCCATAATATGGTTTTGTAAAGGTTTTTGAAAAGAAAATAAAAATATAATAATTAAAAAAATTCAAAATTTAAAAAAGAAAAAAAATTTTAAAAAAAGCGCGGATTATAATTAAATAATTAAAAAAATAAATATAAAAAGAAAGGCGGAAAAGAGAAAAATTGTGATGTGTGTGTGTTTGTGCTGTTATTTTACATCTATTTGCAAATTTTAAAAATGAATAAAAATGAATAATTTTTTTTAAAAAAAGAGATAATTTTTAAAAAAAATTTTTAAATGATGGGTAAAAACTGAGAATAACGATAATTTTTAATCACTAGTTCCAATTGAGTAAATACATCAAAATATATTTTTTTTCTTTTATATTAGATTTTTTATCATTTCCTTTTTTTTTTTTTTATGAAAATTTGAAATATATAACTCAATTTATTTTTATTATTTTTTTTTTTTTTTTTTAATAAAAATTAAAAACAATTTTTTTAATTTTTTTTTAATTTATTTTTTTTTGAAATATCATCATTTTTTTTTTTTTTTTATTATTATTTTTGTGTATTATCAAACAATCTTTTTAATTTAGAAATGATTACTCTTACTCCAGTAACAGGTAAGATTAAATCATTAAATAACATCAATATTTAAATTTATATTTATTAACCCTAAATTTTAATATATTTATAGGTACCTATTTTGGTATTTTAGGTGGTTATTATTTATACCTTTCAATTAATGTTATCAAGTAAGTATTAATAATTAAATTCATACCTAATAATTTAAATGATGATATTTTCTCAATAAGTTTTATAATATAAAAATTAATGAATATTATATTAATTAAAATCATACTACTATTATTTTAGGCAACGTTTAAAGGCTGGAGTTCCAACTGGTGATGGTACTTTATCAATTATTAGAGATTATGCAAGATCAAAAGGTGAAGCCCCTCTTAAATTTGATAAATATGAACCATTAGTTTTAGCTATTCGTGCCCATTCAAACTTTTGTGAATATGTCCCAATTGTTGGTGTTTTATCAATTATTAGCGAGCTTCATGGTGCACCAGCTGGTCTTTTACATGCTATTTTAGCCACATTCACCATCGGTCGTATTCTTCACTCATCAGGTATTCAAAAGAAAGGTTCACTTGGTTCTGGTCGTAAGATTGGTGCTATGTCAACTTTTGGTGTATTATTTTTAAGTTCTGCTTCATGCTTATATTTTTCAAATAAAGATATTATCCATAGATTAATTGGCAGATAAAACAATAAAAATAAAATTAATATTGAATAATTTTTTACACTTTAGATTTTATTTCTTTGATTCAAACTTTTTTATTTTTTAAATTTTAAATTTTATACTTTAAAAACAATCTTTAGTTTTTTTTTGAAACTAATTTTATAAATTAATCACAAAATTTAATTTTTTTAAAACATTAATTTTTAAAATCTGTTTTTAAAATAATTTTCTTTGGATTTATAAATTTTCTAAAAATTAAATTAGTTGAAAAATATTAACTTTATATAAAAGCTAATGTAAAATTAAAATAAATTTAAATTTAATCAATCTTTTCATATTTAAAAATTTTGGTTTGCCCAAAATTTTTTCTATTTCAACCAATATCCTCATTGGTGTAGTCGGTAACACTCTAGTCTTTCACACTGGTACCTCGGGTTCGATTCCCGAATGGGGAGCTTTTTTTTCCATTTAAATCAGGAAATTCTTCCTGGTGATTAATGTTAAACCAAAAAATTTGTATTCATATGCATTTTAGAATTAAATGAATATTACAGTTATAATTATATCTCAACTAAATAATATATTTATATTTTCCTTTATTTTAAATAATTTATTATTATAGCTCAGGATCGAGGTTTAAAACTAGGATCAATCCTAAATTTTAAAAAAAAATCCGGATCCTTTTTCCTAAAACTCGATCCTAAAAAAAATCCTTCATATAGATCGTGTATTTTTGACTCTTATAAAAAAAAACCTTTAACACATTACTTTAATTGTAATTTTATTAAATAATATTCAGTCTTTTATTTAAATTAAAATTTTTTTTTTTTTTTATTTTTTTTTTATTTTTTTTTTTTTTTTTGTTTTTTTTTTTTTATAAAAATGATGAGGGGGGTTTATAAAAAAAAAAAAAAAAATTTTTAATATTTTTTTAATAAAAATAAATTTTTTAATGATCATAAACTTGGTTGAATGAATTTTTTTATAAAATTACCAAAAAAAAAAAAAAAATAAAAAAAAAATATTTTTTTTTTATTGAATACACAAACTCAAAATTAATCAAATTAATATTTCAACACTTTCCCAAAAAAAAAAAAATTAAAAAAAAAAAATAAAATAAAAAACTTTATATGGAGCGAATAGTGTCGTTTAGAGACTATTTTGTGCTATAATAAATTTTATTCCACTTATTATTAATTTTTCATAAAAAAAAAAATTAAAAAAAAAAAGTATAAAAAATTATATACAGTATATTTAAACCTAAAATTGAAACTATATTTTTATATGGATGAACACCAGTTGCTATTATTTTGAAGGAAAGGTTTTACTAGGATTCTACAGTTGATATCCGGTGGCAGGTGCAGAATGGTGACTACTAAATCTTTTGGTTATCTAAAAATGTTCGATAATTATAATAGTTGCTTGGCCAGAGCAATGTATTAAAACCATCAAATAGTAAATAGAAAACTTCGTTAGTGTAGGTTTGATTGGTGCAGTCTCGGTACACTGTTTTAATCTTTAAATTATCTGATTTTAAAGAGTTGATATCATCTATTAAAATATATTTGCCATTGAACTATTTATTTTCTAACTAATAATTATATTAATACTAAATTATAAAAAATATTAAATAAAATATATTATAAACTTACTTTATAAAAAACCTAAAAAGATATAATACAAGGTGGGTTGTGAGGTGTGATTTTTGGCATCAATTGGGTTATGGTTGAGTGATTTGTTGTTTCGAAATCTAAATATTTAAAATAAATATTAATAAATGGTTTAATATTTAAAATAATTTAAATACATAATATATTTTACCTAAATTTATTTTGAATTTACCAGCACTGTTTGAAATGGATGTTTTTTTGTATTTTAGACCAAGTTGCTTTTTATATGATAATAATTACATTGATTTGTGTTGTGGGGGCCCATTCTCAATCTTTCCCTATTGGATTATGATGATGCACCAGTAGAATCGAATTTTGATTCTGGTGCATAGAACTTTGGGTAGTTAGATGAGGCGATGGGTGTAGTGTGGGCGAATGTTGGGGATGCGGTGTAAATGGTGATCCACTCACCAAGTTCTTCATCAAATTCCTCAATTGATGGCCCTTCAACCATTTCCTCATATGCTTGTGTTGGTGCACCAGTACTATTGTATTTGGACTCTGGTGCATAAAAAGTTGGGTAATCGGATAATATTTTTTTAATTTTGAAAATGATCAAAAACAACAAATTTTTTTTTTTTTTTTTTAAAAAAACGACTTTTTTCATATCTTTTGTGATTTTTACAAAAAAAAATTAAAAAAAAAATAAACTTTATATGAAGTCTTTCAAATAAAATTTTTGTATAAAAAAACGTCTAATTTTTATTTTACCAAATAGAACTGAAAATATTTTTTCTATTATATTATTAAAATACTTTCTTCAATAAATTTATTAATAAATAAATAATTATAAAAATAAAAAATAACAGAATCATTTATTGAAATCGAAAATGAAAATACTATTTATTCATATGAATCATCAGATGATTATAGTCCCACTACCCCCAAAAATTCATCCAGATCAAAGGCACAATCTAAATATACAACAACAAGAAAAGTTGTAAAAAAAACAAAGAAATAATGTATAAATAATGTATAATAATAATTAAAATAAAATTTTTTTTTTTTTTTTTAATTTTTTTTATTAATTTTTTTATTTATTTTTGATCCTTTTTGATCCTTTTTTGATCCAAAATCATTAAAATTTAGGATTTTTTAAATCCTTTATTTCATTTTTCGATCCAAAAAATCCTAACTTCTTCCCGGGAATTTTTTTTTTTGGATCGATCCTTACCCATACTTGAAAGGATGGTCGATCTAATTATGTTTTTAAATGCTATGGGGATTTTCATCTGGGTATATCCAAGTTTTAAGAATCAACCAATAGATTTTACTGTGTAAAAATTTAAGTTTAGGGGGTTAAATCCATTCAAGTATAAAACAATAAAAAAATACTGATGACTTTATATCATAACAAGTAAAGAATTTTTATTTAATATAAAAAGAGTTAAGGTTATATTTTTATATAGTTTTATTTTTTTTTATTATTATTATAATTTATCATTTATTACACAAACATAATAAATAATTAATAGTAATTATATTTTATTTTAAAAAATTTATATAATGTAAATTACCATTATTTTTTAACAGAGGGTTTAAGTATTGATGGTAGAGGAAAATGAATTAAGACAAAAAAAGGTATTTTGATTACATAGATACTGAGTTGGGGCCACTCTACCAAATTTTCAATGTGGTGGTTAATTATGTATGCTGTGTGGTAGATTACATAACTAACCACAAATTTTCAATATGGTGGTTAATTATTTATACTGCCTTAGGGTTTAAATAATTAACCATTCGGCTTTAATATACTAACCTCCCCGTGGTAGAGCTGGAAACACTCTTTACAAAGAGTGGCTAATAGTATAAAAAAATATAAAAAAAGTTGAAAAAGAGATAATTTTTTTTTTTGGAATATAATTATTTTACCTGCAACGATAATTTTCGAATTTTAGTTTTTCGAAAAAAAAAAAAAATTTTATATTTAATCTTTTATTTTTGGGAAAAGTCTTGTGTTTGGAAGATTATAAAAAAAAAAATTTTGGATTTCTAAAAAAAAAAAAACAATGAAATAATCTTTATTTTTAAGAGAAATCAGTTTTTTTTTTTATTTGAATTCAATTTTTTATTTTATTATTTTAAATTTTTAAAAAAATATAAATAGAAGATTTGTTCTGTCTTAAAAAATAATCATACAATCAAACAATCAAATAAATTTGAAAAAATAAATATTAAAATTTAAAATGAAATTCATCCTTGCTTTATTATTTGCCTTTTTAGCTTTTGCTAAAGCCGACTATATTTTCAATTCACTATTAAGTGATAGTTGTTCCTTTAGTGTTGATACTGATCAATGTAAAACTGCCCCATGTTTACCTGGTGCTGTAGTCAAGGTTACCAATGAAGGTTCAACAGGTATTCAATTACATTTGGGTCCAGATTGTTCTTCTTTCCCAGTTACACTTCCAATTGTATGTGATGTTGATGTTAAATTAACAAAAAATCATGTTGATTACCTTTATAAATTTGAATGTAATGAATGGGTTAAAAGACTTAGAAAAAATTCAATCTCCCATATAAAATTAATATGGTAAAAGACTTGAAAATAATTTAAAGTCTTTTACCATATAAAATTAATATGGTAAATGAAAATATTTCTATTTCTCATATTAAATTTTTATATTTTTAAAAAAAATAAAAAGCAAATAATTTAAGATTATTTTTTTTGAAATTAATTTTGGATTATTTTTTTTGAAATAAATTTTAGATTATTTTTTTTGAAATTAATTTTAGATTATTTTTTTGAAATTAAATTTCAGATTATTTAATCTTAATTTTATTTTTAGGCTTGATCAAAAAAAAAATCTTATTTTAATTTTTATACATATTAAATTTATATGGGAAATTTATTTTAATGATTTTGGTCCCAATCTTTAGAAAATATTATATATTATAAATAATTATTTTAATATCTATAAAGAATTAAAATTTTCAGTTTCTCATATAAAATTCTATATGTAAAAAGACTTAAAAAAATTTCAATTTCCAATATAAAATTAATATGGAAAAAACTTTAAATATTTTCATTTCTCAATTTTATATAGTGAAAAATTTTATATTTTTAATTTATTAAATTTGATTTATTAAATTTATTTGTTTATTTAATTTATTTTTTATTTATTTATTTATTTATTTATTTATTTATTTTAAAAAAAATTGTATAATAGTAATAATAGTAATAATAATAAAAAATAACAATAGTAAAGTAATTTAAATTGTTGGTTTTCTCATTTGTACGTTTTTCTTTTTTTTTTATAAATTATATAATATAAAAGACTTAAAAAATTTTCATTTCTCATATTGATTTTGTGTAAAAAACTTAATAAAACTTCAATTACTCATATTAAATTTTTATATGTAAAAAGATTTCCAGTTCTCAATTTTTATATATAAAAATATTTCATTTTATAACATAAACAATTAGAAAATAAATAAACAATTGTAAAATATACAGATAATTAATTTTCAATAATTCGTGTTTTTATTGGTTTTAGTTTTCACAAACAAATAATTGTATATTTATTTGATTATTAGAATTATTTATATTTATTATTTATCTATAACTAAAGTAGCTCCATCTACATTACAAATTGTAAGGTACTAAGATCAAATAATTAAATAAAATAAAATTTATATGAAATGTTTATGTTTTTGTAAAATTCGAAAACTAAAAAGTTTTTATTATTTTTATTTTTTTATTTTTTTTTAAAAATTTATTTTTTTAAAAAATTCTTTTTTGATGAATTAAAATAATTGTTAATTATTATTAATTAATATTGATTATTATTGAGTAATGATCCTTGTTCATTACAAAATGCCCAATTTAGCAAAATAAATAACCATTTTATTTTTTGGAATTCACTTTTAAAAAAAAAAAATTTTGGGACATTTACATTACAAAGGGAATTATTTAGAATATCTTTTTATTTAATTTATAATACAGTGTTTTGAGTGTTGATAGTTTTCTATGTTTTGGTCATCGATTTGATGTAGTTTTTGTTGTTTTATTAAAGACAGTTCTTGCTCAGTCTTAAGATTTGGGTTGTTGATTATACAAAATAATATTTCATTTAGTGAATCGTCTATTCCAGTATTATCTAAAGAAGAAACCTCAAAAAACAATTCTGCATTAATTTGTTTGGCTAATTCTTTACCCTGTTCCATACTAACACATTTTTCTATATTTTGGTTTCTTAAATCTAATTTTGTGCCAATTAAAACAAGAATTGGTTGAAATAAATTGTTACTGTGAAGTGTTGTTGTTATATATTGATTGTATTCTTTGACCCATATTTTTGAAATATTTTCGAATGATTCTTTGTTGGTAATGTCATAAGTGAATATTATTACATTGGCACCACGATAAAATGTGCTGATTAGTCTTCTATTTTCGCAACCTCTGGATTGGTCCCATAGCTGAATTTTAACTAACTTGTCATTAACCATCTTTTTAATAATTTTAAAGTCTATTCCAATTGTTGAGACGTTATGATGAACTTGAAAATCTTCATTCATGAATCTTTTTACTATTGATGTTTTCCCCACTTTAAAATCACCATTAAATAGTATTTTGATATTATAAAGTGGTTCTTTATTTAAATTATTATGGTTATAATAATTATTAGTATTATTTGTATTACATATAGCAGTTGTCATTATTTAAATATTTTATTTAATAAATAAATCACCTTTTTTATTTTTTTATTTTATATTTTAATTTTTTTAATTTTTTAATTTTTTTGTTTTTATTTGAAATTGAATAAAAATCAAAATTTAAATTTAAGTAAATTTTCTTTTTTTTTTTTTTTTTTTTTTTAAAAAAAATTTTCAAATAATATATTATATAATTTTTTTTTTTTTTTTTTTGAATTAGATTGTATATATTTAAATAATTTAGTTCCGTATTAACAATAAATAATATTATTTTTAAAATAGTTTAAAATATATAAAGAAACAAAGGATTTCTACTTTTGGTCAAGAGATCTTTTTTAAAATTGTATTATAATGTTTTTAATCTTTCAATTTTTTATTTTTAATTTGTTTATTTTTATTTTTTTATTTATTTTTTATTTATTTTTTAATTTATTTTTATTTTTATTATTTGTTTGGTATTACGTAATTGTTTTGTACTATGTTATATTCATTAGTTTGTAAAGAAAAATACCAGGTGTTAAACTACCCCAAGTTTCCATCAAAGTAAACTGAAAATAACTTTTCATTGCACAACCACAATTTTTTAAAAAAAAATCTAAAGATTATTTGAACTAACCATTACCAAAAATCTTCTATTTACTTATATCCCAATAAACACTGATTATGGAACCAAATTGATTCTAAATATATTTTCGAATGGTAAATCCATAATGAAATCATCAAATTAAATTTAAAAAAAAATAAATTAAAAAAAGTTTTTTATTGATTTTTCGAAAAAAAAAAAAAAAAAAAAAAATCTTCCCATTTTAAATTTAATTAAATTATTCAAATATCTATATAAAAAATGAATTTTATATAAATTGTAGAAATAAAATTGAAAAAAAAAAAATTAGAAAAACTATAAATTAAAAAACAAAATTATAAAAATAATAAAATACAATATATAATATATAATGACAAAATTAAAAGTTGGAGATAAAGCACCAGAGTTTACATGTAAAGATAAAGATGGTAAAGATGTTAGTTTAAGCCAATTCTCAGGAATCGTTGTATTGTACTTTTATCCAAAGGATGATAGTTCGGTCTGTACTAAACAAGCATGTGAATTTAGAGACAAATATCAAAAGTTTATTGAGGCTGGTGCAAATGTTATTGGTGTTAGTCAAGATAGCTCTGCTAGCCATTCTCAGTTTACATCCAAATATAGCTTACCATTTACATTATTAACCGATAAAGATGGTCAATTGGCAAAAGAATATGGTGTAGAAAAAACAGCTTTGTTTTTACCAGGTAGAACAACATATATTATAGATAAGAATCATAATATTGCACATATTCACTCTAGTTTATTAAATGCATCCTCCCACATCGAGGAATCTTTAAAAATTATTGAAAAATTAAAAAACCAATAAAAAAAAAATAAAAAAAATAAACAAATTATTTGTAAATTTACTTTTTTATTTATTTAAATTTTCTATACTGTTACTGATAATATAGTTACTATCACTACAGTTATCAATGTCGAAATTATCTATATTGCCATCATCTATGCTGTCATTATTATTATTATTATTGTTGTTGTTGTTGTTGTTGTTGTTATTATCATTATTGTCAATATCATTATTGTAATATTGTTCTAGATCTATAGGTTTGAAATTATATGCTATTATAATAAAAACAAAAAGAAATAAAAACATTATTGAACCAAAAAGGAAACATAGTTGATACTCTGGTAAATGAATTAATCCAATGATAAAAGCATCTATTAAATTTCCAATTGCTATAGTCATTAGCCAACCTGCCACTATGATTGCTTTCATTGATTTAGGTGAGTTTGAATAGGCAAACTCGATACCAGTAATGAGAATTAACACTTCTGCAGCGGTTAAAAGAATGTATTGAGGTATTTGAAGGGATATATGAACTGTATTAGGTTCATGACGATCCATTATCATTTGAATTGCACCTGCTAAAAAGAATGACAAAACAGATAGTATAATACCAGTTCCAATTTTTCGAAGAGGTGTATAATTGAAACTTGTTTTCTGCAAAGGACGGTATATTCCATATTCAAAGAGTGGAACAAACATTAATACTAACAGTGGGTTCATTGCACCAATGATTTCAGAGTCTATTGTAATTGATCCAATCTTTCTATCCATTGAATTTGCCTGTACGACCCATCTTGTACTAATTTGATCAAAGAGAGCAAAAAAAAAGGTTAATGGTACAAAAATAACTATAACTCTAAGGGACATTTTAATCTCCATTATTGTCTTCATGCTGTATTTGATTTTAGCTCTGTCTATCCAACTGTCTTGATATTCGCAATCGTTGTAAGTGTTTCTTTCGGTTACTTTCTTTTTGAATGTTTCTTTTATCCCACAAACAATAGCACCCAATACTTCTGATATAATATTTCCCTGGGGTGCTCTTTTAACATACTTTTTATGGCCTGAGAAAAAGATGACAACTGAAATCGCCAATATTGTTGCAGGTATAGAAAATGCACACCAATAACCAACATTTGTTCTGAGTATTGGAGATAGAAATGATGAAATGAATCCCCCTAAATTACCACACCAATATATTATTTGAAATAAATTTGTCAATAGTTTCTTTTGGTGGGGTCCAAATTGGTCACCACAAAATGTAGAGACGACAGGTTTCATTCCACCTGTACCTATAGCAATGAGAGATAATGCGAATATAATACCATATGGTTTTCTATCACTAGGGTCATCACCAACCACCCCAGGTATTGAAGTAATTGCCAATATTGCCCCACCAATGCTATAAAGTATACTAAAATATAAAATAGTTTTAAACTTTCCCAATTTACCATCTGCACAATATGCACCTAACAAAGTACTAATATTAAAAAATAAAAAATTAAAATATAAATAAACTATTAATTTTTATAATTGTTAATTCTACCATTATTTTAAAAAAATTATACTTACAAAAAATAAGCACATGAATTCAGACTGTGGCCAATAGCCGATGCTCTACTATTCGAATAGCCCATAAAGTTGATTAAATAGTTGACAAGTATCCCACGCATGCTATAATATGAGTACCTTTCACAGATTTCGCTCACCAAAATATATTTTATTGCTGGGGGAAAATGGGTCTCGTCACCACCATAGACATACCCATCATACTCTTTTTTTTCTATACAACTTTCACATTCATTCCCAGCAGAAGCTCCATTTAAGTTTGGCGATTCCCTTTCCTTTAACTCCATTTCATTTGACTCCTCTAACACTTTTAATAATTTGTATATTTTTAATAAAGAGTTTTAATATAATAAATGAATAACTTGAAAAAAAAAAAAAAAAATAAAAAAAAAAAATAAAAAAATAAATAAATATAATTACCACTATAGTGTGTGTTTTTATATTTTTTTTTGCCATTTTGGTAGTTGAGTATATTTTTAATATTCATTTTTTTTTCATTTTTATTTCTATTTTTAAATGGTATATTATTTTCTTATTTTATCAACTATTATTATATTTTTAAAATGTTAATCAAAACAAATTGGTATTATATAAATTAAAAAAAAATATTTCTAAAAAATTAATTTTTTATTAAAAAAAAAAAGATTTTTTTAAAATAATTTTTCAATTAATTTGTAAAAAAACCATTTATGATAATATAAATTAATGAAAACTCTTTTAATTATATTTTTAGTATTAATATTTTGTAATAATCAAAATTTTTATATAAATGGGCAAGTAATAATTGGGGGTTTAATATCATCTGACTTTTATTGTATGTCAGGTCTGGTCAACAATATTATACCAAAAGAAAATGTACCAGGAGATGCACATGGTTTATATGATTTCTGTTCCACTCAAGGTGTAAGATGCAGTTCAAATACAATAGATCAAATATTTTTAACACAGACGTCACTTAATCTAGTGTCCTCTTCGATGATATCATGCTTTCAATCATTATCTGTTCTATCACTAAATAATATTGTGACACCTTTTCCAGATTTAATAACAAAAAGTTATAATAGTTTGTTGCAAACAATGTACTTCACAACAACCAACTCAAGAACACCACTAACATCACCTGTAAAAATAAAAAATGTAGATTTAACAGTTATAGAAGAAGGAAACTCAGTTATAAAATTCTCAAATCTTATAGATGTAACTAGTTTGTATGTTTTATTAATTATTTATATTTTCATATTTCTAGAAACTATACTAATATACTCGTTTTCTTATAAAAAGTAAATATTCGATTGAAACACCATTTTCACTTTTGAAACCATTTGGGTTATCATTTGAAAATGATTTAGATGCATATTGGATAGCGGAAAAAATTGATATTGCCTCAAATAATTTTCCAAGCTTTAGTAAGGTCAAATCTACATACATCTGTTTAAATATTGTAAGTATCATTCTTTACAATAAAAAATCAATCAATTTAAATACTAATAATCAAAGATTAATATTAGATGCCAAAAAATGACAAAGTTTCAATTAATCAAAATATTGCCACTATTAAAAACACCATAACATTTAAATTAAATTGTATAGAACCTTATACAAACATATTCGATTTCCCATCAAATCTTGGTAATTTGAACTCTGATGATTCAAGCTCAATGTAAGTATAAACAACACTATAAAAGTTATCAAAACTATACTAAAATTTTCTTTAGATATTTTAATTGTCCATTTATCTCGCCCACATCCATTATAGATTTAAGTAATTTAGGATCAACTAATACACTATCAATTATAACACCAGATAGAAAATTTCATTTGAATGGCGAACTCCCATTAATCCTTGGTAATAAATTAAAAACCCTAATTCTAAATGGATCATATTTGAAACAGATTAATTATAGAATTTTCGACTCACTTACAAGTCTTTATTTAACTAACAATACCATCTCTGGGACTCTTCCTCCATTAAACCCAGACACATCATTATTATATATTGATTTAAACAATAACGAAATAACTGGAAATATAGATAGAAGTTACTGTAATTTAAAAAAACTTGTTTTAACAAACAATAAGATAAGTGGGGAAATTCCAACGTAAGAATCATATATAGTCATAATGACATTATTTTAAAAAAATCTCGACTACTAATTTAAATTTTATTAATATAGATGTTTTACATGCTTTTTTAATATACTTAAAAATGATTTTAATGGAAATTATTTTTCAAATTATGACCCTTTACCATGCAGTAAGTACCATTTCTTTAAAAAAAAATTTTTAATAAAATCCTAACACTATTGTTTTTCACCAAAGCCACAACCATTCCATATAACATGACCTATAAAGTTGAAGCAGATGTTTATACTTTTATCATCGATGGATATGACTTAGGGGGAGACAATTTAAACAGTTTTGTTACATTTTCGGGTGAAAATATGGAGTTAATTTCAATGGCTGTATTAAAACCAAACTCTCAAATATCTTTAAAAGCATCACTCACAGATTCAAATAAATTCGCACCCCAAATCATTTCAATAACCTATTCAGTTTATTTAAATTCATTAACATTCAAACTACCTTTAAACCCATCCCCACCAAGACCCAATACTGTTTTATGGTTTGGAAAAGATGTAACAATTATTGGTTCATACTTTACATATGATAAAACCACTGTTTCTATCATGATTGGGAAAGAGCCATGTATAGTTAGTTCTACAACATTTGACAAAATAACATGCTCCGTTTCAATTGTCGATACCAAACATTCAAATATTAAAACATTCATTAATGTTGGCAGCTACTCTACCCAAATCTCATTAAACCCAGAACAAGAAAATATAATTATTCTTTGTGCATACCCATGTATGGATAATGCATATTGTAACACCGAAATTGGCCAATGTATTTGCGATGAAGGATTCCAAGGAAACGATTGCCAAACCCCATACTTAGAATGTCAATTAGCAATCGATAACAATCAAATATGCGGAAATAGAGGTAAATGCAATAACCAAACAGGTATTTGTGTTTGTGATGATGTTTTAAACCCCTCACCATCTTGTAGCTCCTGTCCCGATCCTTTATGTGGTGGAAATGGTAAATGTAACTATTCGACAGCAACTTGTGAATGTAAAAAAGGTTTTTATGGATATCAAGGACCCAACTGTGCTGTACCATCAATCTATGTAGCATCAGTAGACCCCAGTTCCGAGGATGGTGGTAATGCATTGTTCAGTGGTTGGTTTGGATTAAAATCTGAGAGTACTCAAACCAAAGTATTTATAGGGGGAAAAGAATGTACACCAATCTCACTAATTAATGAAACTACAATTATTTGCACAGCTCAAGCTGGAACTGGTTTGCAATCGGTTAATATTACCAACCCATCTATCTACTGGTTCAATCCATCAATATATAAATATCAACCTTCATCAACTAAATGTTTGAATGATTGCAACGAAAAAAACAAAGGTGGTGTATGTAACAAAATGACAGGGTATTGCCTATGTAATGAAAATTTTGATGGTGCAGATTGTTCTAAAATAAATAATAATAATCAACCCCCAACCAACACAACAGTAGATGACGATACAGGTTTAATTAATTTAAATAATCAAAAAACAAAATATAATATATCAATTATATCTCTAATTGAAGTTGGTATAGGTGGAAATATTGTATCTTCGATTGATTTAAAAAATAAATGGTCCAACATTACAACCACAAGAACTCCAGATGGTAATTTACTATATAACTTCACCCAATCAATTCAGTCCAATCAATCAACAATAATATACTTGGTTGAAGAAGTAGAAAAGAGTAAAATATTTACATTTGCAGGAATTGACTTTAAAGTTTCATCAGGCTCAATTAAAATAACAGTATTAATTTCAAACTACCAATTTACAAGTAACTTAAATACATTAAAACTATTATTAGAATCATCAGTAGAAAATATTGACAACCCAGATAATGAATGTAATGATAAAACTATCGATATCAACTCTGCAAATAACGAAAATGGATCTTCATCAAACCTAAACTACATTACAATCAAAAAAGATGCTAAAATTCTAACTGGTAGATTCCTTGATCGTGCTGAGGCCGACGATCGTTCAACTTTTATAACTAGTGAAATTGCCAATAAAACTGATCAATCTTTAACTATTGCAATTAACCTACCACATTGTGTGAAATATTGTAAATTAGATCCTGACTTTTCAGTTCTTGTATCAAATGAATTTAGAGATGAATGCCCATCGTCAAAAAAATGGCTAATACCAGTCGCTGTAGCTGTACCAGTCGTTGGTGTATCCCTAATAGTTATTGCAGTCATCATACTTTATCGTAATCGTTTAAGTAGACTAAATTTAGCAATCAAATTAAAAAATCTTGGAAAAAAATAAAAATAATAAAAATAATAAAAGTAATAAAAATAATCAAAACATTGGGTAAAAAAATAAATAAAAAAATAAAAATTTTGTCACATAGTTGTTTGGTACATAATCATTTATTTTTAGTTTGGTGATCATTATTACGATAGTGTGTGTTGCAAAAAAAACACCATAATATCTGAAAAAAAAAATCTTTTTAGAAATTTGGATGAAAAAATTAATTATAAAAAAATTATAAAAAAAATTTTTAAAAAATTGAAAAAATTTATAAAAAAAAAAACAAAAAAAAAGTTTTTTATTGTTATTTTTTTTATATCCAAATTATAAAAAGATAAAGAAAATGAATACTCCAACAAAATTAAGAAAGTAAGTAATAAAAATAATATTGTTTTAACACTTTTAAAATAATCCAATTATTTATTGATTTTTCGATTTTTTTTTTTTTTTTTTTTTTTTTTTTTTTATGTTTCGAATTTTATTTTTATTTTTTTCAAAAATGTGATCTTCTTTTTATTTTAATAATAGAGCTAATGGTTCACTTGCTTTCCCAGAAGGATTTAAACAAATTAAAAGAAGTGTACAAAGTAAACTTAACCCAAATTTAGAAACATGTTTATTTTCATTCAAAGGTAAAGAGTACAATGCTGAATCATATAGCGGTATTGTATTAAGAGAAATGGGTTGGAAAGATTTCGATAAAGAAGATAAAGAAAGAATCAGTCTCTATTGGGTTGATCAAGTAATCCATGGTGTAAATGGTGTCCTCTGGTCCCCAGGTGGTTTTGAAGATGACAGCTCTTATTTTGGTTATTCATTAAATTTATTTAAACCAACTTTCTCACCACCACACTCTATGGTTTTAAGTAATGGTGATGTTAAAGTAACGTATGTATTTTATTTTTTTTTTTTTTATATTATTTTAAAATATACAGTTTAAACAGTATATCATCATCATCATTGTTTTATTATGGTTGTATTATTATTTATATTAATTTTTTATTTTATTATATATCAATGAAGCTATTGGTACAGTGATTTAAAAAATAAAAATGTTAAATACCTTCAAGTTATTTTTGATACCAATGGTGACATCAAATCAAGAGATATTCTTTCAACCAGCAAATCTCAATTTTATAAAGGTTTAGCAACCAGTGTATTTGGTAGTGTTGCTTTAGCAGTTGGTATTTACTGTAAGTAATTTCACAAATTTTAAACTCAATTTTTAAAATTACCACCACTAACCTTTTTTTTTCTTTTTTTATAATTTGCAGTAATAAAATCAAAACATTTATTAGTTTTGAAGAAATAAATTATAATAACAATCAATACATCAGCAAAATAGAACCTTTATTAATTTATGTAGAATAAATAAAATATAATAATATATAAAATAAAATAAAATAAATAAAATAAAATAAAATGTAGATTATAAATAAAAAAAAACAAAAAAAAAAACCGATGCCATTTTTTTTTGGAACAAGAAATTCGAAAAAAAAAATTTGTTTAACTCCGATTTTAATTAAATTTTTAATTAAAATTAAATCAATATAAAAATAAATTATCTATCTATCAATTTACAATGAAATTTCATTAATCCATTTTTGTATTTATCTTTTTTTTTATCTTTAACACAACACACTTTTTATTTTTTTATTTTTTTTTTTTTGAATAATATATTGTTTTATATGGATATAATTGTATCAAATTTGGAAAAATAAAGGAATTAAAGTAAAACCCATTGTTTTTTATTTTTAAGTATAATTTAAATTTAAAAATAAGTATTGTTTAAATTATTCAAAATAAAAAGCCCAAAAAAGCCACAAATACGCCCAAACCGCTCAAATTGAAAAAAAAAAAATAAAAAAAAAAAATAAAAAAAAAAAAAATTATTTTTTTTTAATATATTTATATTTAATTCCAATACAAAACACACAAATAAAACTGTATAAATAAATAATTATTTTATATTTATAATTAATTCCTATAATATTGTTGTGTGTTTAAATTATATATTTAATTATATAAATTTGTATTTTAACACACCCAAACACCACCCAAACACACTCTCAACAAAAATAAATTAAATTTTATTTTATTTATTATAATTTTAAAATAATAAAACAACTTAACTCCCACACATTTTTTACATAAATAATAAATTTATTATTATTTTTTTTTTAATAAAAAAGAAAAAAAAATAAAAAATAAAAAAAAATCTTAATCATATTTCTCTTTATTTTGTATATAATAAAACTTCACATCCATATAATATTAATAATACAGTATAACAATAGAATAATAAATAAATAAAATTTTAAAACCTTAGATATTTAGCTTTTAATAAAAATATTGATATAATGGAAGAGAATGAAAATGAAAAGTTGAAAGAAGATAACGATAGTCATAATACTGGTAATGGTAATAGTGGGAATGTAAATAATAATAATAATAGTAATAATGACAATAATTTAGTAGCCCCAACTCCACCAGTAGCGGTAAAAGCAGCCATTAGAGTAGTATGTAGGGTAAGACCATTAACAGAATTAGAAATCAGTAGAAACGAAAGATCAATTGTATTTTTTCATAATAGTAATTCAATATCAATTAGAGCCAATGGTCAACCATTTACATTTGACCGTATTTTCAACTGTGAAAGCACCCAACTCCAAGTATTTCAAGATGTTGCTGAACCAATTATAAATGATTTTTTAAATGGTTATCATGGTACAATCATGGCATATGGTCAAACTGCAAGTGGTATGTAATAAAGTAATATAGTTCTAAAATAATTACTGAATTTATTCTAACAAACCATATTTTTAATAGGCAAAACATTTACAATGGTTGGCGACCCAGCTCCAAGCTTACATGGTATAATTCCAAGAGTTATTGAGAAAATCTTTGAAGGGATCAAGAGTTTGAGGGGATTAGATACAACATTATCAATAGCATTTTGTTTGAAGATTTCTGCATTGGAGCTGTATAACGAAAAGCTCTATGACCTGTATGATGGAGAAAGAAATAATTTATCTATAAGAGAGCATAAACAAAATGGTATCTATGTCGAAGGTATTACTGAAAAAGTTATTACCTCAGTGGAGGAAGCTTATGATTTCCTTAATGCCTCAAATAGAAATAGAGCCATCGCAGCAACAAGTAAGTTTTATTTAAATATAAAAAGTAGTATAATAAGTAAAATATTAATACCTTTTTTTTTTAGAAATGAGCGCCGCAAGTTCAAGAAGTCATTCAGTATTAATGATTGAACTATCTCAACAAAATTTATCTGCGGAATCCTCAAAGATATCAAAATTATTTTTAGTCGATTTGGCTGGTAGTGAAAGAGCACACAAAACAGGCGCAGAGGGTGACAGAATGCAAGAGGCAAAGAATATAAATTTATCGTTATCAGCATTAGGCAAAGTTATCAATGCATTAACCACAGGTGCACCGTATATTCCATATAGAGACAGTAAATTAACAAGAGTTTTACAAGATTCACTTGGTGGTAATTCAAAAACATCTCTTATTATCAATTGTTCACCAAGTCGTAACAATGAACATGAAACTATTTCAACACTCCAATTTGGTACTCGTGCTAAAAGTATTGAAAATGTCGCCAAAGTTAACAAAAAAATTACCTACCGTGAATTGGAAGAGTATATTATCAAACTATCCAAAGAATTGGAAAGACTTCGTAAAGAATCAAATGAAAAGGATGCAACAATTATCACAAAAGATCAAGAAATTGAAGGTCTCAAAAAAGAACTACAAGAGAAATCATCAAGCAATCTTGATGATTTATATTTTAGCAAAATTCAACTTGACCAAGCAAAAATATTTGATGATAATATCGAAGAATTCAAAGTTGATGAAAATAATGCAAATAATAATAACAATAATAGTAATAAAAATAATAATAATATCAATATTGAAGATCTTGATGAAAACCCAAATAATTCAAGTCATGACTCAATAAAGATTACAGATTTAGACGACCCCATAGATAATGGTCCAGATGAATATATTCATGATATTATAGTTAACGGTAGTATTCATCACGACAGCGATAAAAGTTCTGATGATGAATCTGGAAATGAAAATAATAGCTCACTAAATAGATTTAAAATTCAGCCACTATTTAATGAATCCGAAATTGATCAATTTAATAATAGTCATAGTAGTATAAATAACTTTTATTCGAGCAATAACAACAATAGCGTAAATAGTAGCATTCATTTAAATTTAAAAGTTTCAACCTCCTATATCACAACCTCACCCAATATCTCCCCAAGAACCTTTGACAATAATTATAAAAGTGATAAGAATAATATCGATGAAAGCTCAAATAACAACAATACAGCTTCACCAACCCTCAGCTTCTTTAGTGATCAATTTTTATCACTTTCAAGTAGTGTCGATGGAGGAAAAATATTAGATAGCGAAAAGGAACCAGTAGAGCAAGAAATAAGTGAAAATAGCAATGGTCATAATTATAATAATGATAGCAATAAAATAGAAGATTTACCAAATAATATTGTAGGTGAAGATCTAAACCAAGTTGTACAAAACCAAGAACAAATTCAAATTGAACAAGTTCTTCAAGAACATCAAGAAAATGATGATGAAATATCCATTTCCTCAGTGGTTACATCTAAATCATTATCAACCGTTGGCTTTACATTTATTGAAGATGATGAATCTCAATCTACAACTTCAAATAAAAATAAAGAAATTGATCAGCTTGATGCAAATGATTTTGAAAATGATAGTGAACCTCAAAAAGATGAAAATGAAAATACTGGCAATAATGGAAACATTGGCGAATTTAATAAATCCTCCATTGAACATGATGATGATCCCCAGTCTCCAAATGAAGATATAGAAATTGATCAGTTTGGTGCAAATGATTTTGAAAATGATAGTAAACCTCAAAAAGAGCAAGAACAAAAAGATGAAAATGAAAATTCTGATAATAATGAAAACATTGGCGATAATGATGATTTTGGCTTCTCTAAAATTGAAAAGGATGATGAAGATAATCCAAACTCAAACGATTCAAATAGCAACATTATAAATAGTAATGATAATGGTTTTATTCAAGATAATAACAATAGTGATCCAGTTATACAATCATCAATCGCAACTACATCCATAAACCCTTCAAATGAAAATATCAATACAATATTAATATCATCTGAAAACCAAGAAGAACCACTACCACAACAACAACAACAATTTTTAGAATCGAACCAGAGAAAACGTATTCCAAAATCATTTTATATGCTTTTCTCCTTATTATTATTACTAGTCTCATTAGTTTACTTTATCAACACACCATCATATCAAGATAGATTAATTCAACGTAGAACCTACTTAGATACACTTGGAATTTATTCAGATTTCCCAACATTTGAAAAACTAGGCATTCACAAAAAATACTCTATGAAGTTCTTTAATGATCTTTATGGTTACAATAGTCAAGAATACCAAAAGGAAGCAAGCGATATTAATACATCATATAACCATCTAGTAGAAATGAGTAACTATTTATTATAGCTATATTTTAATTTTTCCAAATATGTTTACTTACCTTTTTTTTTATCAGGTTTATTTGAGAATACAATGTCATATCTATTGCATTCAACAGGCTTTAGACTCAATGATGACCTTTCCTTTTTAAATAGAAAATTAGAGTACAAGAGCTTAGTTTATAAATTTACAAAATCACCCTCAACAAATAATCACGAGCAGCAATACCAACAACAACTTGAACAATACCAACAAGAAATAAATAATAACAATTTAATTAAAATTAAAGATGAAGAAATTTTAAAAAAAAATAATGAATTAAAAAACAAGGATGAAAAAATTCAAATGTTAGAGAAAAAAAACAATGAAATTATGGAAAAATTAAAAGAGTTAGAAACCATTATCACTAAGAAGGGTGAAGATCAAGATTATCAAAAAACCTTAATTGAGAAGGTCACTCAATTAGAATCAGAGAAAAAGAAATTTGTTTCACTTGTTAGCACTCTAGAATCTGATAAAAAGACCTCAGACACCAAAATCAATCAAATGAACGATGAAATCTTAACACTAAAATCAGAATCACAAAAATACCAAATTGTAGCCCAACCACCATTATTAAAAATCATTTGGGAATATATCAATCCAAAAAATATATTAGATTTCCTTTTATCTTTTTTTTAATTAAAAAATATTAATACAAATAATAATATAATATATAATAATATAATAATAAAACAATATAATATAACAATATAATAAAACAATATACAACAAAACAATATAATAAAATAATATAATATAATAATATAATAAAAATATTATTTATTTTACTTTTCTTAAAAAAACTTTTTGTTTAAATTTTTATTATAAATCTTTTGAAATTAAAACATTTACATCCTTTGGTATTCCTTGCCAACCAAATGGTGTATCTAAAAGTTCTAGTTTTGAAATTTCTTTATTATTATCCTTAATGTTAAAAACACCAAGTAAAAAGCTATCACCACTATTTGGATCATTTAAACCGTTTTTAAAATTATCTTTTGTTGGGCTCCACCATTTTCTTTTTCCCTCTTGCCATAAAATATGATTTAATGAACCATCACTATATGTAATTCTTATTGTATAATCGCAACCACTGCCGTGACAATACCATGGGAATTTTGAAGTGTTGGGTATGACATTTGAAATATCTGTTTTATTGGTTGGGTCAAAATACTTCATTAAATTGCCTGTTGATTTAAAAATTGGATAAAATTGCGATAGTTCATTGGAAACGGTGCTATATGTAAAAACAATTGTGTAAACTTTAACATCTCTTTCGATAGGTGAACCATCATTAACCCCATACAATCCCTTCTCTTTAGTTAATGGTATATAATCGTAATATTCGTTGGTTGTGGTATTGAATCTGCTGTATACATTTCTATTTTGATTAAAATATAAAGCATTTTCAAAATATGATTGTAATGTGGTCATTTCAAAATCTGCAAACATTGAAAATCTATATTTACTTGATTGACCACCAGCACCACCCTGCATAACTGATTGTTTGATACAATATTTGCCATCATCAGACATAACCATATTCTTTTGACAATTTCTATAACTACTTGCACTTTTTGGGACATAGATAGAGAGAAATTCGTTTTTATCGGTATCAAAACCCCATCCAGAATATGGTGAACCCTTTAAACTTCCTTTGATATATGGGTAATCGCCTTTATTATATTGTTCACCAGCATGGTGAAGTCCAAAGCAATGACCTTGTTCATGAATAAAAATACCAGTATAGGCGAAATCACCCACTCCAACACCGCCACCAACACTACCCAATCCTCCATAAGGATCTGCATATTTTCCATTTTTATTTAAATGTAAAAGAGGTGAGTAAATTTGATTGGAAGATGATCCTTCGCCCCAAGCTTTTCTGATGCCAGCTAAAATAGACAAAACAACACTCATAATTGCATAGCCATCGCTCTTTTGATCTGAATTGGTTATTTTCATACCTGGATTACCGTTTCTTGGTGGCATTATTAAATATGGCCAACTAATCTTTCCAAGTGGGTGGTTTTGTGAGATGATATCTGTGAGTGACCATTTTTGAATCAACTCTGCTATTACATTTTCATCAACCTGTCTAATCTTTGAAAATGGTTGTGTATTTGTATCATTTGCTCCAAAGAAATAAAGTGGAAGAGTCCAGAGAACCAATGTTCTTTCCTGACCAACATTTGGTTCGGTTACTATAGATTTAGAATTTGGTTGCTTCGAATCTTCAAATTGAATTTTCAATTTGTTCTTTATCCACTTGCCTGGAATAAGTGCACTATGATGTATAGTTGAAAACTTTGGTCCATCATCTTCGGTTGGTGGTAAATCGCTTGGTAAATTCATGTCAACTGTTCCAACTTGGTCGTCTCCATTCCAAATCCTTGCTATTATAAAACTGTTGTTATTATTTGAATTATCAAACTTTGCCATTAATAGAGTATCACGATTCTGAACCAACTTTAAAACATAGGTTTTGTTTTTTATTGTCCACGAAGCCCCCTCAGATGGTATGACATGTGTTTGAACAAACTTTACATCGCTGACATCCAATGCTATTTGATTTCTGTTTAATCTTTTTGATTCTATAAAACTAATGAACACTAAAAATAATAATATTATTATTAGTTTCATTTTATACTTTTATTATTACTAAAAATAATAATAACTATAATTATAAAAAGATAAAAAATAAAAATATTCTTTTCCTTTAAATATGAATTGTTTTGTTTTTTTTGTTTTGTTTTTTTTTTTTATTCATAAATATAATATTATTATTTTACAAATAAAAATTTAATATTTTTTTTATTTTATTAAATATTTGAAAGTAAAAAAAAACAATTATCATTTTATACTTACCAATAATAGTAATTTTGTCATGTATTGTTATTTTAGATTTCTATTTCTTACTTTGTGTATATATAAAAAAAAATGATGTTTGAAACAATATAAAACTATTTTAAATTATCTACATGATAAAAAACACCTTTATAACCAAAAACGATTTTAAAAAAAACCTTATAAAAAAGTCTAAATGATTGTAGTTAATTATTAATAATTTTAAAAATAAATAAAAAATAAATAAAAAAATAAAAAAATAAAAAAATAAAAAAAAAATTAATTTTAATTTTAAACTTTATTTATTATAAAATATTATTTGATTCTATATTAAAGTATTATTCCCTTAACAACACCAAAAAAAGTCTTTTTTTTGTTTATTGAAATTTAAATAAAAAAAAAATAAAAAATTATTTTTTTTAAAAAAAAAATCAATGCTATTTAAAAAAGAGTATAACCAAAAATAAAATGAACAAGAATGAATGAAAATAAATAATATCAATTATTATTCCAAAAAAAAAAAAAAAAAAAAAAAAAAAGATTTTAAAAATAACATTGTGGTAAACCCCACCACTAAAATAGTTATGTTTTATTATTTTTTTATTATTTTTTTTTTTTATCAAAAACTGAATTTATATATAGACTCGCTCCATATTGTGTAAAATAATCTTTTTTTGGTTTAACCATTTTATGCACCCATATAAAAAAAATTTGAAAAAATTTGATTTTTTTTTGCTTTGAAAAGTGCGCTTCTCGACCATTAGAGAAAATTACACAAAACTTTGTAAAAAATTTTTACATAAAGCTAAAACACCATGGCACAACATAAAAAAAATTTTATTTTTTTTTTCAATTTTTTTTTTTTTTATGCGTTAAAAAAATTATTATTTTTTTTTTCTTTATTTTTTTTGTTCGTTGTGAAATTTTGGTTTGTATCTCTCTTTCTATATGTATATATAATTTTTTATATATAGAAAAAAAAAAAACAAAATAATGAAAAAAAATAAAAAATATAAACAATAAAAAGACTCGATCACTACAGTAAAACAAATAACCAACAACAGTAAAAATAATTAAAATAAAAACAACTAAAAATAACAATCAATAAAATAAAATAATCACACACACAAAAAAAAAAGCCGAAATTTTTTTTTTATTATTCGATTATAAATACTTTTATATTTAATTAATTGTATCAAGAAATAGAAAAAAATGCGATCTTTAGTTTAGATAAATAAAATTCGATACTATAAAAATAAATAAAATTATATGGGAATTTTGTTTGAAAGAAAAATCCAAAATGAAAATTTATTTTAGTATATAGGTTTAGGTTATATAAAATTTATATTAAATATTTTAAAATAAATAAATATAAACACAATACTAGATTTAAAGATTAGTTAGATTTTTTTTTTAGAAAAAAAAATACCAAACCACCATAACAACAATGCATGCAACCATAAAAAAATTAGAAAAAATTAATAATAATAATAATAATAATAGTAATAATAATAATCATAGCAATAACTAAAATAAATAATAATTTCACTATTTGATCAAAGTCTTGTTATTATTTTTTTATCTCCAAAATTTTCGTTTTTTTTTTTTTTTTTTTTTTCAATTTTTTTTTAAAATTTTTTTTTGTCAAAATTTTTGCTAACATTTTTTTTATTTTTATTTTTTAAAATTATACAGAGCCTTAACTAAACAACAAAATGGTCTCTCTTAAATTACAAAAGAGATTAGCCGCCTCTATTCTCAAATGCGGTAAAGGTAGAGTTTGGATTGATCCAAATGAAATTACTGATGTCTCAATGGCCAACTCAAGTAAGTAAAAAATAAATTATAAATAATCATCGTCGAAAAAAAATATTATACAGTATAGAAAAAAAATATTGGTATTTTTTAGATAATAAATAAAAGAATAAGTCACTCATTTAAATATTATTATTTATTTTTGGAATTTTATAGGAGATGCTGTCCGTAGATTAATCGCAACCGGTTTCATCATCCGTAAACCAGTCGTCGTCCACTCACGTTCCCGTGCTCGTGCCCATGAAGCCGCCAAACGTTTAGGTCGTCACAGAGGTCACGGTAACCGTTTAGGTACTCGTGAAGCTCGTTTACCATCAAAAATCCTTTGGATTCGTAGAATCAGAGTCTTAAGAAGACTTTTAAGAAAATACCGTGAAGCCAAGAAAATCGACAGACACGCTTACCGTGAATTATACTTAAAAGCCAAAGGTAATGTCTTCAAGAACAAACGTACCTTAATTGAATACATCGTCAAAGACAAGAAAGAAAAACTCAGAGAAAAACACATCCAAGATGAAGCTCAAGCCCGTAGAAACAAGAACAAATCACTCAAAGAAAGACGTGCTGCCAAATCTGCTGCTAAAGAAGTTGCCAACAACTAAATTCATCCTTAGTAATCACCAAGTAACTTTAAAAATAAATATAATATTAAAAAAAAAAAACCAAAAAAATAATTTAAAAAATATTTTATATTTTTTTTTTTTACAAAATACAAATCAAGTTTAGTTTTTTAGATATATCAGATAATTATTGTTTTAAATATAAAATATTTTTGTGTTAAATAAATTGAATATATATATATTTTTTTTTTTTTACAATTTTATATGGATACACCTTTATTTAGTTTATTGTTTTGAGTCAATTAAAGCTCTTCTTGCTAATTCTAATGAACCTACTAAACCAGCATTACTTCCAAATGGTGATTGAACAATATATTGATTGATGTGTTCTGGTGTTAAATATTTGGTTTTAATGTAACTGTTTAAAATTTTGATAGTTTCTTCTCTAACGATTTCATAAAGAATTGAACGATTTAAAACACCACCACCCAATACAATAACTTCTGGAGAGATAAAACATGTAATGTTTGCACATAATTGGCCCAAGTAGTGACCAATAGTTCTCCATACTGGATCATCATCTGGTATTTGTGAAAGTTTATCTGCTGTAATTCCTAATCTCTTTGAAATGGCACCTGTGCTAACTAAACCTTCAATGCAATTTTTATGGAATGGGCAAGTACCCTCAAATTTATCATCATTTAAAATTCTTGCACTGAATATTAAATAAAATTAAAATTAATATAAATACATGTTACTGCTATTATCATTATTATTATATTTTATTTTTACTTACAATGTATGACCACCTTCTGGGTGTACTAAACCATGAATTGGTTTACCATTTACAACTACACCAACACCAACACCAGTTCCAACAGTTATATATACACACGATGAGACGGAACCTCTTTTGTGGAGATTATGAAAAGTTTCACTAATTGCAGCGCCATTAACATCTGTATCAAAACCTTTTGGACATTTAAAATCTTTGAACCATCCTAAAATATCGGTATTACCCCAATTTGGTTTTGGTGTGGTTGTAATATAACCATAGGTTGGACTGGTTTCATCTAAATCGATTGGTCCAAATGATGCTAAACCTAAAGAGTTAATTTCACCTTTTGATTTAAACCACTCTAAAACTTTTTCTTTTGTTTCTTCGACACTTGTTGTTGGTATAGATATTTTATCAACAATATTTGATGGTTTACCAACTGCAATTGCTAATCCAAAACCTGTGCCACTAATTATTATTATTATTTATTAATACATAGAGTATTTTATATATCTTTTTAAAACATATAAATTTTAATAATTACCCAGCTTCTATTCCACCATAAACTATTTTATCTTCCTCCATTATCTCTTTTTCTTTAATTTATTTAAATAAATATTATTATTGATATTAAAATTAATTGTGGGTGATAAAAAAATAAAAATATAAAAATGAAATTTTATAAAATTAAAAAAAAATAAAAATTTGAAATTTTATAAAAAAAAAAAAAAAAAAAAAAAAAAGTTTAACAAAAAGGGGTGTTTACCTTTTTTAATCTTTAAAATTTTATTACATGATTTTAATTATCTAATTTTATTGATATCTTTGTTGTTTTTGTTTATTTGAGGTTGTGCCTACATTTAAAGATTGATCAAATTCACGCTTATTTTGTGAAACTTTTTGGGTTGCAGTTTTAATTAAACTATTTCTATATTCTTCAACAAGTTTTTCTTTTTCCTCTTTTGTTTCATTTGAACTGAGTGATAGTTTCTTTTTATAGGTTTCAATTTCTTCATCAATACTTTCTAAAGTCTCTTTGGATAGTTGATTTACTGCTGAATGTTCTTTTTCTTGTTCAATTTGAATATATTTTTTAAATTGTTCAATTTTTTGATTGGTTTCTTCTATAGTATCACATTTAACAATACCATTGTTTTTGCAATATGAATCAATTTGTTGTTGTTGTTGTTTTTGTTGTTTTTGTTTTTCCACTTCTTTTTGATTTTGATTTAAAGGTATTCCATCAATATCATCATCGTCATCTATATTATTTGTTATTATTGTATTGTTACCTTCATTACTATTATTATTATTTATATTTTTGCTATTGTATATAGAAAAGGTAAATCTTAAACCCAATAAAAATGTTTTTGTGTATAATGATGATTTATCCCAACTATTTAAAACCTTTGTAATCTTTTCTTTAAAATTTTGTGCAGTTACTCTTCCACTAATAGCTTTAAATGTTTGATTTAAATGTTGAAATATTATAGCTAGTTTATTTTCAAACCTAAATGAAATATTAAATCAAATAGTTAGTATATTTTTAAATTTAGGTTAGTTTTGCCAATACTTACAAGCCACGATAGGATGAAACATTTTTAACATTTACTGTGCAATTATGTAAAATATCTGAAATTAAATAAAGTTTTGCAATTTTTGAATTATTGATTTTGTTTGTTTCTTCTGGTGAAATCGAGTTTTTTAAATATGAGGTTATATTGGAAAATTCGCTTATGTCTAAAAGAGATGATGAGATGATATCTACAATGTCAGAGCTAAATTCAGAGTTTTCGATTGCTAGTACCATTAGTTCGCAAATATTTTCACGTTCTGCTGTTATGTTCTTTAAAAGTTCATCAAATCTGATACGTAATGGTATGGGTATTGGTTGTTGGTCAACTGATAGATTGGTTGGTAGCTGTGATATTTGTTGTTGTTGCTGTTTCTGTTGTTGATGATTTGGTAGTGGTGGCGGTGTTAAAATATAACCACTTATAAGTTCCAATGGTTTTGATTTCCATATATCGGTTGAATCACCATTTAAAAATGAATATACCTTCCAATTATAATAAAAGAATTCGTCTGATTGATGGTTAAAAAGAAAGGTGAAATTCATATTGTTGTATTCACGCTCTTGAACCAAACGCTCCATTCCGAAACCTTCACGACTTACAAAAAGGGCCAATGTGTCAATAATATTCTTTTGAAATAGATTTTGGGGTATCTGTACTTGAACTTTTTTAGGTATACCCTCTAGATTACGTGGTATTTTCATTTGCATTTTGGCCCAACTAACTCTTAAATCACGACCAAATATTTGTTTACCCTCCAAATCGTCTTTGGCTTTATGTGCATCCTTTGGTGATGTAAATGTAACTATTGCGCAATAATTGATACCACGTTTTCTATCATCCTCATTCTTTGGTGCAATCACTTTAATGGCACTAACTTTACCATACTTTGAAAATAGATCTGTTAAAACCTGTTCATTTGCCTCAAAAGGAAGAGTACCTAGAAATAGGGTTGTAAAAAAGTCTTCATCTGTTTCTTCGTCTGGATTGGCTGCTGGTTGAGATTGTGATTGTTGCTGTTGTTGCTGTTGTTGTTGTTGATGTTGGTGCTTTTTTTCTTTTTCTCTTTCTTCTTGTTTTTGCTTTAACTCTTCTTTTAATTCGTCAATTAGTCTTGATCCCTTCTTTTTTGGTTCGTTTGTTGGGGCTGAAGAGTATTTATCATTATCATAGCTACGGCCGTGATCTCTATCCCTATCGTCATAACTACGCCCATATCTACTATCTCTACTATCCCTATAATCTCTGCTATCTCTATGGTCTCTTTCACGGTCCCTATAATCTCTACCATCTCTATAGTCTCTTTCTCTATCACGGTCTCTGTCCCTATCACGATCTCTATCCCTATCTCTATCACGCTCTCTTTCTCTATCACGCTCTCTGTCCCTGTCACGCTCTCTTTCACGCTCCCTATCTCTTTCAAGGTCCCTATCACGATAACGAGTGCCACTACGATCTTGATCTTTTAATGATTGTTGAGATTGCTGTGATTGCTGTGATTGCTGTTGAGGTTGTTGTGATTGCTGTTGAGGTTGTTGCTGTTCATTTAAATCATCTGACAAAATAAAAGCTCCACCCTTAACAAATTTTGGTGTATCTTTTGGCTTTGGTGCAGACTCTTCAAACTCTTCAATGAAATCTTTAAATACTATATCCCTTTCATATTCTTCTCTTTTCTTTTTTGAATCTAATTCTTCTTTTCTTTTTTGTGTTTGCAATTGTGATTTTAGTTGTGATGTAGTGTTTGATGTTAAATCCCTAATTTTTTCATTTGATATTTTGCTCATCGTACTTGGTGCTAATTTTTTATCATTGATTAATCCAATACCAATTGGTTTACCATCAATATCATCGTCATCATCTTTAATATTATCTTTTATTCTATTATTTGACATTATTGCTTATGTCAAATAATAAATATTTATTATTCAATTTGATAAGGTTTATTAATTTATAAATAAAGATATATACAAAAATTATTATAATTTATTTTTTACAAAAAAAAAAATAAAAAAAGAAAAAATAAAAATGAAAAAAAAAAAATTAAATTTTTATTTTTATTTTTTTTTTTTTTTGTTTTTTTTTTTTTTAACTTAATTGTATTTTTAATTTAAAATTAAAAAGATTAAATATAAATGGAACATTGATGTTTTCTTTATGAACTTTATGAGCTCGGTTTTAATAATTTTATTATAATAATTCAAACTCGAAACAAAGCCATTTTTTTTTTTTTTTTTTTTTTTTTTTTTTTTTTTTTTTTTTTTTTTTTGGTATATTTGTAATTATCTTTAAAAATATCTTGGTTTTTTTTTTTTTTTTGATGTGTTTTGTTTTTTTAAAACCATATTTTTTTTTTTGAAAAAATATTAACAAAATGGTAAAAAGTAAAATTTATTTTTTATTATCTGTAATTTTAATTTTAACAATAGGATGTTATTCTCAAACCTGTGATCCAAAATGCAAACACGATTGTGTTTTAACTGATGGATCGTATCAATGCGAATGCAGAAATGGTTGGATTAAAAACCCAGGCAACTCATCAGATTGTATTGATGTAGACGAATGTTTCCTAGAAAATGCAGGATGCGCACAATTATGCATTAATAGTGAAGGATCATATCAATGTGATTGTAAAGTTGGATGGACTGTAGACCCAAGTAACACCTCCGATTGCGTAGATATAAACGAATGTATCAATAATAATGGTGGCTGTGTTGATACCGAATGTTACAATACTGAAGGATCCTATTATTGTGTAAAGAAATGTGATCCTTTATGTGGCGAAAATGGTAAATGCAATTCAGAAACTGGTTTATGCGAATGTAACACAGGTTACTCTGGTCCAAGCTGTGAAACAACCGCTGAACCAGGTACTAATGCTCCTAATAACTCTTCAAGTTCATCAAATAACCAAACTAGCTCAGCAAGTGGTAGTAGTACAAGTTCATCTGAAGAAGTAAATAAATCACTGGATGCCATAGCCCACCTTTCAATATCGCTGTTAATATTTATCGTTGCTGTTCAATTATTTTAACAAAATATTTAAACTAAATAAATAAATAAGATTTCGTATCTTTTATATTTAAATTTTCAAAAATCAAAATTTATTATTATTTTATAAAAAGCAAAAACAAAATAATCGTAAAATAAAGTGTAAAAGTAATAAAAAAAAAGAATAAATAATAATTCCGTTTTTAAATGTTTTTTAGGTTTTATATTTTTTTTTTAAAATTTAGACTAAAAGGTGTTAAATTTATTGTTTTTTGTCACCAACTTTCTTTTGACCTGGTCTTTGTGGACGAGTACGGATCTTTCTGTCTTCTCTTGAACGAACACGAACGATGTGGCTGTGAATGGCACATGAGATACAGTATTGTGATTTAACGTAGGTTCTTGGGAATTTGTAACCTTTGACGTTGAAGACACCTTGATCTGAAATATCTTTAACAGCGGCGTTTTCGACGATTGGTCTAATGTAGAATCTCTTGACGGCTTTATCCTATATTTTTGAAATAATAATTATATTTTTTCGATTAGCTAAAATATTCTCTAATTTTTTTTCCTCTTTTTTTTTTTTCTTTTATTTTTTCTTTAATATGATATTTACCTTTGGGACACATCTAGCACAGTTGGTACATCTGATGTATGGGACTGAGCCACGACCGTGTTTTGATCTACCGTGATTACGTCTCTTTTGTGTCATTTTGTTCTCTATAATAATTTTATTTTTTAAAAAAAAAAATAGAATTAATATTTATTTATTTTACACACCTAAAAAATCCTGAAATCGAGTGAGATAATAAGAGAATCCAAAAAAAAAAACTAATTACTATTGTTTGATGTTTTGTGAGAGTGATTGATGAGTGAATGTGCAAAAAAAAAAAATTTTTAAAAAATAAAAAAAATTTTGCTCGGTTTTTTTTTTTTTTTTTTTTGTATTTTTTTTTTACACAGATTCAAACGTTTTATTTGGCTATATTATTTTTCCTTTATTTGTAAATTCTTTTTTTACTAAACTATGCTAAATCTATTTCTATAAATCCCTAAAATTATAATCTAACAATCGTCTTTTTTTTTTTTTATTGTCCAAACCCACACACTATAAATTATTATTTATTTTATTTATTCCATATCTAATATTCCATATTTAATTTTTATTTTATTTTATTTTGTTTTGTTTGTTTGTTGTTGAACTATTTTTATAATTAATTTTTTTTTTTTTTGGCAGGGTCACTCTTTATTATCTCTCCTCTATAGAGATAAATCATATACGTACACAAATATTTTACGTTAAAGAAAAAGGAAGAAAAATTCAAAAAAAAAAAAATTTTTACTTTTGTCAAAAAAATTCGCATATAAAAAAATTAAAAAAAATTAAAAAAAAAAATTAAAATTTTTATGAGACTCTTTCCACAGCGATTGTTTTATATGGAAGCCATTGCAAGTCCAGTTACATTGTTTTTACAAACAAAATTTTTTTACAAAGAAATTAAAAAAAAATTTTAAATTTTTTCAAAAAGGCGAAATTAACACACATAAAATTTTAAAACCAAAAATAAAATAAAATCAATCAAAAAGATTAATTTTTTTGATTTCAATTTAACCAATTCAAAATTTAAATTTAAATTAATTAGTTTAAATTTAACTTAATTTAAATTTCAATTTAATTATTATTTATATAAGTTTAAATATAATAAACAATGTTTAAAAATTTAAAATAAACAATTGTTTTTTTTTTTTTTTTGTTTTTTTTTTTTTTTTTTTAAAAATTATATTTAAACACCCCAAATATATATATATGTATATATATTATATATTTGTATAAAATTTTTTTTTTGATGGCTTTATTTGATTTTAATTTAATTTTTTTTTTTTATTTTTTCATTTCATTATTTTTTCAAATAAAATCTTCCAATTAATTTCTTAATATATATTTTATGTGTTTCTTTTTTTTTTTTTATTAACACCAAATAAAAATAGAAAAATTTTAATTTAATGAGAAAAAAAAAATAAAAAATAATTTCAAATTAAAAAATTAATTTATGAGAAAAAAAACAAAACATTTAATATTTGGTTATTAAAAAAAAATTTAATGTAAATTTTTTTTTTAAATTCATTACATTTAAATTCATAAATTAATAAATAAATAAATATATTTAATGTAAATATTTATATATTTGAATAAAAAATAAAATAAAATAAAATAATTTAAATCTAATTTTTTAATATTTTTATTTTTGTAGATTTATTTATTTATTTCAATTCCCTTTTTTATCTAAAAAAAAAAAAATAACAAAAGTAAAATTATTTAAATTAAAATGGGTAAAGGAGGCCATACTTGCACAATTAATAGTTTTTTTAATTGTAATAATATAACTTCAAATAATAATTTACCAGAATTCTTTTCATTTTGCAAAGATAAATCAGAGCCAAAAATCAACAATCATTTAAATAAACAATCATTAAAATTATTAAAAAATAACAACAAAAAACAAAAAAAACAAGAAAAAAAATTAAATAATTTTGAATATTTAAATAATGTTTTTAATAATAAATCAATAAATAATATTTCATTTTCTTCAGAATTAATCGAACAAGATGAAAAACAAGAAGAAAAAGAAGAGTCTGAAAATAAGGACGAGTTATTAGAAAACAATAGTGTTAAAGATTGTTCAAATAATAATAATAATAATAATAATAATAATAATAATAATAATAATAATAATAATAATAATAATAATTTAAATACCATTAATAATGTTTTAATAGATTCAAAAGATAATAGTGATAATAATAATAATAATAATAACAACAACAATAATATGGTTTTAGAAGAATTTATTGAAATAAAATTAAATACTAATAATGAAATGGATAATATTAAAAATAAAGTAGAGGAAAATTATGAAGAAGAAAAAGTAGAAGAATTGGATTTTGAAGAGGATTTACTTGTTATTGGCGAAAATTATGAATTTGAAATAATGAATAAAAAATTAAATAATATAAAAAGATCATCTGGTAAGAATAAAAAACCAAGAATACATAGATACTACCAAAAAGCTCACCAAATGAAAAAGCAAGAAAGAAAGAATGAATGGTTAGCAGTACATTATTCACGTATTAAAGACAAAACACCAAAACACATTAGACAAAGACAATACACTTATAAACCATTATTTGGTAAAGAAGACTCCTACGAAACCCAACTTAGAAAAGCATTAGCCTTATCCGCTTCAGAATACGACCGTCAACTCCGTGGTCCTTCAGCCTCATCTGCACGTAGCATGGCTTTAAGTCAAAATCAAATTAACGATATCCTAAATAGAGAATTAACACCAGAAGATTACGAGCTTTTGTTATTACTAGACACCACTGTTAAACCAAAAACTGTAGATATAAAGGATATCAATAGTCTTCCATTGGTTTCTTTTGGTTCCGAATATTCTGATAAGTTTCCTTCTTGTATGGTTTGCTTAATTTCTTTCGAACAAAATGAAACATTAACTAAATTAAATTGTGGCCATATTTTTCACACAAACTGTATTTCAAATTGGTTATCAGTGGCTTCAACAAAATGCCCAATTGATAATATTTCAATTTTAGATGAATGATAATGGTATTAATAATTTTAAAAACAAATTAACAACAACAATAATAATAATAGTTTATTATAAAATACAAGAATTTATTTTATAATTCAACTAAATTATTTATTTATAAAACAAGCGATTTTAAATATAAATCAAGAGTATATTTATACAAAAGGAATAATTAGTAGTTTTTCTTCAAGTAATAATAACATTAAGTTTTAAATCAACACATAATTTTAATTAAAAAAAAAAAAAAAAGAAATTAATAACTGTAAATAGAATTATCTTTTAATTTCTTTTTTTTTTTTTCTAATAAAAAGATAATAAAATTTTTTAAATCAAACATAATAATTATTATAATTTCATTTTTTATTTTGTTTTAAAAAAAATAATTGTTGATTAAATTTTTAAATATAGGATTGGACCATTCTCCTATTTTAAGGAAAAGAATTCCGCTAATAACCAATTATTTAAAAAACATCCATATAAAAATTTAAATTTAAAATTTTTTTTTTTTTTTAAAAAATTTAAAAATTGTTTTTATTTTCATTTTAGAAAAAAAAGCGCTATTTAAACAAATACACCCATTGTGTAATAATAATTCAAATAATATTATATAATAGCAGTGGTTTTATTTGTTTTTTCAATATTATTTATATTGTTTTAAATTTATTCATTTCTTTTTATTTCAGATGCAAACAACTTTATAATTTAATAAAAAATAATAAATAAAAACATATTTTAATTAATAATTACAATAATAATATATTAAAAAAAATGCCAAGATTAAAACTACCTCAGGGATTTAAAGATCAAATGGAGAAAGAGGCAACTGATAAAAAAAAGAAAACAGGTGCATCAGATCCAAAGCAAACATCTATTTCTAGTTTTTTTGAAAAAAAAGAAGATAGTAGCACAACAAGCACCACATCCACTGCAACTATACCAGCAACCAGAGCATCATCATCATCATCATCATCTTCATTATCACCATCATCATCACCACAATCAAAAGTAACATCACCAACTACAAGAAGAAGTGGACAAAAAATAGAGGTTGAAAAAGAGGTTGAAAAGCCAACAACTAAAGGTAGAGGTAAATCAGCACCAAGATCAGCAACCACTAAAAAGGAAGCAGCTAGAGGAAAGAAAAATAAGGAGGAGTCTGAGTCTGAATCAGAGTCTGAAGAAAATAATGCATCAGAAGAGGAGCTATCAAAATCAAGAAGACCATCAACTAAACAAATACCAAAAAAACCATCACCAGCTAAAAATAAGAAATCAGCCTTAAAGAAATCATCATCATCATCATCATCATCATCTGATACTGAGGATGAAGTTATGGAGTCGTTAGATGACAACGATCAAGAAAATAAAAATAAAAAGAAAGTGGAAAAGATAGAGTCACCACAAATTAGATCAAGAAAAAAACCTGTAAATTTATCTTTTCTTGATTCATCGGATGAATCTGAAGATGAAGGTAAAAAGAAGCCAAAGAAAACCATTGGAGTGAAGAGAAAGAAAGACGATAGTGATTTTGAGCCATCACAGGAAGAGGAGTCTGAAAGTGACTTTATTTCAGACCATGGTTCTGAAGATGAAATTGAAAAATCATCAGAAGAAGAGGTAATTGTTTTTAATTTATTTAATTTTTTTTTTAATTTTATAAAATCAAATATTAATATTTTTTATTTTATTTTTTAAAGGATTTAGAATCTTATAAATTTTCATCAAAAAAGAAATCAGACAGTGGTAAAAAGAAGGCATCTGGTATAGATATTAGTGATGGTGAGGAAAATGATATTGAAATGAAAGATAGTGAAAACAATAAAGAAGAAGAGGTTTCAGGCGAACCAATTGTTATTGGATCAGGTCGTGTTGTTTTACCTGCAGGTACACCCGATTTTAAACCCGATAAGAATGCTGGTAAAAAATTACTTCAGGCTCATTATCAAGTTCAAGAAAAAGAAGAAAAGAATAGACAGCAACAGCAACAAGGTACCAATCAATCAAAAGAAGAGAGTGATGAAGAGCCAGAAAAGCCAACTGCTAAAGCCGCAAAGGGTAAGGGTGGTAAATCCAGCTCAAAATATACACCATTAGAGCAACAATTTTTAGCAATTAAAAAAGATAATCCAGACACAGTGTTAATGGTGGAGTGTGGCTATAAATACAAATTTTTTGGCGATGATGCCGAGATTGCAAATAAGGTTTTAAATATCTATAGCTATGTAGCAAAGAACTTTTTAAATGCTAGCATCCCTTGTCAACGTTTATATTTCCATTTAAGAAGATTGGTATTGGCAGGTTACAAAGTTGGTGTGGTAGAACAGACTGAAACAGCTGCTTTAAAGGCCATAAGTTCATCAAAATCACAACCATTTGAAAGAAAGCTCACTAGAATATATACATCCTCCACTTTTATTGATGACGAGGTTGATGATAGTTTACAAAATTCATCCCCACAATATTTAGTATCTTTTTATGAAGCATCAACATCAGCATCAGGTACCAATTCATCAGACAACACTACACCATCCGTTGAAACAATTTCATTTGTTGCTGTTAGTATTAGAACTGGTGAAATTATATATGATACATTCAAAGATAGTATCATGAGAAGTCAATTGGAAACCGCTTTAACCCATTTAAAGCCAAGTGAAATTTTAATGCCACCATCAGTTCTTAAAAAAGAAAAATCCAATACCTCTTCTGGTTACAAATTTTCAGATCTTACCTACAAGTGTTTAAAGAGTTATTCAAAATGTAATAGTGCCAGAACTCAAAATATGGATAATCAAATCTTTGATTATGATGTAGCTTTAATGAAACTTCAAGAGTTTTATGATAATAACAATTGCTCACAAGTATTAGATCATATCAAATCAATTATGAATAAATACCAAATCATATGTTTGGGTGTATTATTATCCTATTTAGATCAATTTATTCATTTTGGTTCAATTCTCAAAGTACCAAGCAATTTCAAAGCATTCAGAACTGCAAATCATTTGGTATTACCACACTCAACTATCACAAACTTGGAATTATTAACCAATGAGTCTGACAACTCTGAAAAGGGTTCATTAATATGGCTAATGAATCGTACCAGTACTTTTTCAGGTAGAAGAATGTTTACAAATTGGTTATGCAAACCATTAAACCAATTGGATTCAATTAAAGAAAGACAAAGTGCAGTTGAGGAATTGGTTGAGGGAATCAAGGTCAACTCAAATCAGGTTGCATCAATCACTGCCTTATTCAAATCACACATTCCAGACCTTCAACGTAATCTCTCTAGAGTTTATTATAAAAACCAATGCACTCCAAAAGAATTTTTAAACACAATGAGCTCACTAAAACGAATTTTAGAATTATTTAAAGAGATCAGTAAAGGTTATACATTTAAATCAAATTTATTAAATCAAATATTCAAGATCAAAACAAACTCTGATGACGACAACCAAGATGATAAACTCTCTGAAAGAATCAACTATTTCTTATCAAACTTAAATCATGACGCTGCCAAAGATTATTCTTCTGTTAATTGTGAAAAATCAGATTTATGGTTAGATTTCGAAAAATATCCAAAAATTTTAGAAACTAAAAAGGTACATATAATTATAATTTTATTATTTATATTTTTTATTTTTTTTATTTTACAAATATTAATAATTATAATATATTATTTTAAATATAGAGAATTAAAGTTATTGAAGAAGAATTTAAAAAAATCCTTAAAGAAATTAGATATGAATTAAAGAAACCATCATTAGAGTATTTACATATGCCAAAATTAAATTTAGAGTATTTGGTTGAATTACCACCAAAATTTGCAGGAGTACCAAAGACATGGATTAAAGTAAGCTCAACACAAAAAGCAATTCGTTATCATCCACCAGAAATTTTAGAGCAATTAAAACTACTATCACAATGCAGAGAGACATTAAAGATTCAAGCACAGGAATCATGGATATCATTTTTGGGCGAATTCACTTTAGACTATAGTTTATTTTCAAATTTTGTACATAAGATTTCAAATTTAGATTGTTTATTCTCATTGGCTAAAATATCGTGTATGGATGGATATGTTAAACCAGAATTCACTAGTGAACCAGGTATTCAAGTTGTCGAAGGTAGACACCCAGTTGTCGAAGTTTTACTAAATGGCACATACGTACCAAACTCTGTCAAATTATCGTCAAATAAAGAAAGAGCAATGATTATCACTGGTCCAAATATGGGTGGTAAATCTTCATTTATTCGTCAAACTTCACTTATCGTTATTATGGCACAAATGGGTTGCTTTGTACCAGCTAAAGAATGTAAACTTGGTGTATTTGATGCAATTTATACTCGTATGGGTGCTCACGATAACATTGAAAAGGGTAGCTCTACATTCTTTATCGAGCTTCAAGAAACTTCTGAAATTTTAAAGCATGCCACTCCAAACTCGTTGGTTATTCTCGATGAACTAGGCCGTGGTACAAGTACACATGATGGTGTCGCATTGGCATACTCTACACTAAAATTCATCGTCGATGAAAAGAAATGCTTTTGTCTATTTGTAACACATTATCCCCTATTGGCACAACTAGAATCAATGTATCCAAATATTATTGGCAATTATCATATGGGTTTCATCGAAAAGAAGGTTGAAAGTGATTCAGAAAACTTTATTCCAAAAGTAATCTTCCTTTATCAATTGGTACAAGGTGCTGCTCAAAATAGTTATGGTTTAAATGTTGCTAATATGGCCGGTTTACCAAATGAAATTCTAAAGATTGCCTCAATTAAATCAAACGAAATGAAAGAGACAATTACAAAAAGAGCAAACTTGGTAAACAATTCAAATGATAATGAAAAGCAAAAGATCGAAGATGAAATTAAACAAACAATTAAAACTTGGGTCCAAAATTCAAATTCATTATCAAAAGATCAATTAAATCAATTGGTTGAAAAATTAAAATCATTACAATTAAAAGTTTAAATAAAATTAATTTTTTATATAAAAAAATAATATAATAATTATTATATATAACAATATTTAAAACGCCATAGTTTAATATCAGCATATTTGTTTTTTTTAAAAAATTTTTATTTATTTATTTATTTTTTTTTTTTTTTGTATATGTTTATTTATTTATTTATTTCTTTTTTTGTGATTTGTTTTGGACTTGTTTTTTTACATATCTATTTTTTGAAAGTTTGTTTTTCTTATTGCTATTATTTAAATTGTTTTTATTATTATTATTGGTATTATTATTATTGGTATTATTATTTGATTGTTTTTGTTTTTTGATTGATGAGTCTGATTCAGTGTCTTGATCTTCTGATGAAACTTCTTTTCTTTTCTTTTGTTTTTGTTTTTGTTGTTCTTCTGATGGAATAGTATTTGAGTCTGATTCAGTGTCTTCTTCTGATGAAACTTCTTTTCTTTTCTTTTGTTTTTGTTTTTGTTGTTCTGATGGAATAGTATTTGATCTTTTCTTTAATTTTGCAACATAGAAACCATCCATGTTGTGAGTGTGTGGATAATAACGTTTAGTAAGAGCTAAAGATGGATGGAAACGACTTTCTCTGAATGAGGTAAAACCATCGACACCAAATTCAATAGTTGTATCAACAATAATAACATCACGATTACGAAGGGCATAATCGACAACGGCTTCATTTTCTTCAACGGTTAAAGAACAAGTAGAGTATACAATGATACCACCGGTTGCGGAGTTTGCATCAACGGCATCAATGGCTCTAAGTAAAAGTTCTTTTTGGGTATGGGTACAAGTGATGACATCTTGTTCGCTCTTTGAAATTTTAATTTGTGGATCTTTGCTAATAACACCTAAACCAACACATGGAGCATCAACAAGAACACGATCGAAACCTGCTAAAACTGATGGATATTCACGACCATCCATATTTGAGACAACACAGTTTTTGACACCAAGACGATGAATATTTGCAACTAATGATTTAATTCTTTCCTTATTTACATCATTGGCAACTAATGTACCAGTATTTTTCATCATAGCAGCAATGTATGTAGTTTTACCACCTGGGGAAGCGCACATATCTAAAACACGTTCATTTGGTTGTGGAGCTAAAGCTAAAACTGGGAGGAATGAACTAGCACTTTGTTGGATATATTGACCTGCAAGATATTCTGGAGTAGCACCAATAGCTACTTGGGTATCATAAATTGTAAGACCTACTTGTGACCATTTAATTGGTTCTAAATGAACACCACGTGCAATAAGAGCTTCGGCTAAATCCTTTCTACGAGTCTTGAGTGTATTTGCTCTGATTGTGAGTGGACGATGGGTTTCGTTGGCTTCAAAGAATTCCAAAGCTTCAGCAGCATTAAAAATCTTTAAAAATACATCTACTAACCAACTTGAATATCCAAAATATGTGCAAATATCTTCCTTTAAACGATCCATATATACTTGTCTTGAAATACCTGCTTTTCTTTGTGAGTTAAAATCTTCAAGAGTTGCAATAACGTCTTTAATTCTTTGATAAACCATTGGTAAATCTATGCCAAGTAAATTGTCTTTTTTGGCTTCTTCTTCTTCACCTTCTTCTTTTTCTCCTTCACCTTCTTCATCTGTTGTTTCATCTGAAACATCATCTGGTAAAATTGGGTTCTTTATTTCTTCATCATCCTTGGCTTTTTCTACTTTAGCTTTTATTTGTGCTTTTTTAACTTTTCTTTCGAAATTGGTTTCTTCACCTGAATCTTCTTCGTCATCTTCATCTTCACCATCTTCACTTTCTTCACCTTCTTCAGTTTCTGCACCTTTCATTTTAAAAAGTTTTTTATTTTGATCTGAAAATGCACCAGAATTTTTTCTATTAAAATCATCATCTTCTTCTTCCTCATCATCGTCTGAATCTAATAAATTACTGTAATAATTTTAAAATTAATAAATTATTTTTATTATATTTTTATTTTAGTTTTATGATTTATTATTTTTATTATTAGATTTGATTTGATTGGTATATTTACGATTTTTTATTTTCAATTTCCTCTTCGCTATCTTCATAGTCTTCTTCTTCTTCTTCATCTTCTGATGGCTCTTCTACTTTTTGTGATTTTTTAGTTGGAGTATTATTTCTAGTTGGTTTATTTTGGATTGGAGTTGATTTTTTAATATTGTTATTTGGTTTCACAGCACCAACTACATTTGGTTTTTTAGCACCAACTAATTTTCTAACAGGTGTGCTTGGTTTTTTAATGGAAGTATTATTTGATTTCTTATTCATTTTCTAATTATTATTTAAACTTTTATTTACAAATAAATAAAAAACAAATAAAAACAAAATTAAATAATTATCGTTTTTTTGAAACTAAAATTTATAAAAAAAAAAAAAAAAAAAAAACGAAAAAAAAAATTTTATTTTTTTTTAATTTTTTTTTTTTAAATTATTTTTTTTTTAAATTTTTTTTTTATTCCAAACTATCGGTGTGCGTACACATGTAAATTATAATTATCTCTATGAATATAAATACTAACCATTTGGGGCACAAAAAAAAAAAAAAAACCCTTACAAATTAGTATTATTTAATAAAACTAAATTTGTTTTATTTATTTTTAATAAAAATTTATTTAATTTAAAAAATAAAGAAAAAAAACAAAAAAAAAAAAAAAAAGAATTTTGATTGTTATTTGAAAATAATGGTTTGTTCTCTTTGTTTGGTTTCATTTAAATTGAAAATTTATAAAAAAAAGTAATATAAAAAAAAAGATCCTTAACCATATATTTGATTTATTATATTTTTGTCCTATGGGATTATTTTATTTTATTAATGGTTTTTAAAACAGAGTTTTTTTTTTTTTTTTTTAAATGCATAAAAAAAAGTAATTTTTTTTTTTTTTTTAAATCAATAAATGAATTAAATTGTTTATTCTGCAAAAACAAAAAACACCCGTATACCAGAGTTAAGAAAAGTTATTATTTTTTTATTTTTTTTTTTATTTTTTTTTTTTTTTGTTTTTTTTTTTTGTTTTTTTTTAATTTATATTTTCGAAATTTTTTTTTTCATTCCTTTTTAATCTGATATTTCTATAAATAAAATTATATCAATACTGTTGTATTACACTTTAATTGTTTTATCAATCATTTATAATAAAAAATCATCTAATATAAATAAATAAATAAAATAAATAATTAAAATGTCAGAAGATCAAATTAGACACTGTGGATATTGTTTAAAAGAAATTAAAGGTGCCGAGGTAAAGAAATGTGCAGGATGCTTACGTAGATGCTACTGTTCAAGAGATTGTCAAGTTGCAGATTGGGGATCAAAGGGTCAAACCCACAAGTTATGGTGCAAAGAAAATATTTGTGAAGAGGATTTAGATTGGGAAATTAGAGATTCACCAGGGAAGGGCTTAGGTGTTTTTGCAAAGAGAATGATACCAAAGCACACTAAAATTATGGTAGATAAGGGTTATAGAGGTGTTCAGGAGACACCATCAGACTTTTTAAATACATTAATGCCACATCCAGGTTCATTACAAGAGAAATGGGACTTGAATTCATTTTACACACCAGAAGGCGGCGATAACATTGGTATCAGATTAGCAAGAGTTAATTTCGACTGTAGAAACAACGCTACAAATAAATTTGTACCAGATTTAAGTACATTCATTTTAATTGCAATTAGAGATATTCAACAAGATGAGGAAATTTCAATTCAATACTACTTTTACAACGATTTTTCAACTAGCAAGGAAATCAGAGATGCTAGAGAGACCATTATCAAAGAAAAATGGGAGGTTAATTGTGACAGTACATGTATTTGCAAGAATAGCGAAATTAAAGATAAAATTCAAAAGGCACACGAGTTGGACGAATTAATTCCAACCCTTCCATTAAAGACCGAAAATGATGTTAAGAAATCATTGAAGCATGTTGATGATTTAATTAAAATGAATCAAGAGTTATCAAGTGGAATCATGCCATTGTCAAGAGCATACTATGATGGTTTCCAAATCGCAATTACACACAAAAAAACATTCCCATTACACAAAAAATATATAGAAAAGTATTTAGAAGCTATGGAAATAGTCAACTCCAAACACTCACAAGCTTATTCAGAAGCTTTACAATATTTGAAATATCCAAATTCCCATAGAAATCATTATTAAATAAAACAAATAAACAAATAAACAAATAAACAAATAAACAAATAAACAATTTAAACAAATTAACAAATTAAACAAATACAACACGATGTATTTATATTTATTTTATAACTTATTTTTTTTAATTTTTTTGAAACTACATTTAAATTTAGATATCTGAAATTCTTGCCGGATAGCTTAAGTAGGAAATTAAAGGGGGATTTGAATAGAGGTAGTATATTGAATGGATTGAATTATATTGTTTAAAAAAATATAAAAATATAAAAATAAAAAATAAAAAATAAAAAAAAAAATAAACTGTTGGTTTTTTGATTATAAAATTTTTGTTTATTTATATTAAGTTTTTTATGCACTAAAGAGTTGTGTTTTATTTGTTTTGTATTTAAAAGCTACGTTTTGTATTTAATTTGCTTTTTTATTTCCTAAAACTTAATATAGGTTCTTGATGTTTATGTATTTGATGAACTGGTAGCTGTTCCAAATGTAACTGGTTTAGCAGTACCAAATGTATTATTTTGAGCTGGAGTTGATGATCCTTCTGAAGGTGTGGCAGTGCCGAATGTAACACCAAGCGAAAATAATGATTTATTTTGTGAACCAAATATACTTCCTGGGAAAGGATTGGATATTTTGGCTTTGTTTTTCTCACCAAAAGTAACTTGTGATTCATCCTCATCTTGTAATTTATCATCTAGTAATTCTTCCTGATCTTGTATTTCATACTCATCTATATTTTCTTCATCTTCATCTAAATAACCATCCTCATCCTCTTCAGATTTCTTTTTATTTTCTATTTTAAAATCAGCAGAATACTTTGCAGATGGGTTTATATTGCATTGTTTTTGATAGGATTTTGTTGAAAATAAAACATCATTGTTTAAAGTATTTGAAAATTTAAATGAATCTTGATCTTTATCATTCAATATTAGAGAGGCAATAACTCTTTTTCTAACATCTTCATTTAAATATGAGATACAATATGATTCATCCTAAATTAATTTTTTTTTAAATAAATGTTTTTTGTTAATATATGGAATGGGGTTTAGCTATTAACATAATATTAAAATAGAATTAAAATACCTTATTTTCGAGATTAACATCAATGTTATTTTCCTTTAAAAGTTTTATAAGTTCTTTTGATAGTTTTTTTGCAACAAAAGTTTTTTCAATAAGTTTTGTAATTTTGATTGTGTTTATTGAACATTGTTCAAGATTATAGAGGAAACAGTTGGATGAAATTTCTTTACCATTTGATGAGAGTCTACTGGATGATGAAAAGGAGTTAGCATAAACAATAAGCCTTGTCTTGTGATTTGATGTGTTGATAAATATATATGAGGACTTAATGGTGTTGGTTGCAATGAATAAGCTATAATCTTTTGATGCTTTGATTTGACCGTGGCATACACCGGCTCGGTTTGGCTGGGAGGGTTTTGGATCCTTAGTTCTAAAAGGTATATCATTGATATAGGTTGTACTGTTAAAGACATTTTCATAATTGTTGAGTACTATAACACCTTTTTCATTTGGTTTGATGCTGTCAAATAAATAATACTCTTGTTTATTATTGAGTAATGTTTGATTATTATTTATTATTTTAATATTATGAAGCTTATTAATACTAAAGTCAGAGTTGTTATTAAAGTAAATTGCATGTTGCAAGGTGGTTCTATGAGGTACTTCTGCTAATGCGGCACTGGTGATTTTGGATTTGAACTCGTTGACGGTAGTTTGAATGAGATGGTTTTTAAAACACTTGAAATTCTTTATTGTATACCTTTCATTACCAACATTTGATACAATTATCAATTCAACACCCTCTTTGGTAATGTCCCATTTTGAAAACCATGTATAAACTGTTTTAAAACTGATTGGTGTCTTAAAACAATTGTTTGTTTTAATGTCACATTCAATAATATTATTAAAAATATTATATGGCTTATTTGGTAATGCGAAGATGGAGGATGGTGAAATGAATGGAATATCATATGAAATAATAATATCTCTATGATCTTTATCATTATTTAGAATTATTTTAATTGCGTTGTTGATATTACTATTTTTACAAATATGGGTGTTATTATCTAGTAGAATAAATGATTGGATTTTTTCTGTTAAAATTGAAATGAAATATTTATTTTTATAAATAGTTGGTATTTTAGATTGACATAGTTCTTCTAATTCTACGGTGATACTATTGGGGTCTTCTAATACTGTGGTGTTTTTATATTCAATTGAAATTAATCTACCAATTAATTTGGATTCATCTTTTAATTGTATATGGAGTCTTTCATTTTTAAAATATGGTAATTCATTTATAGAATTGACCAATATGGGATGAAATAAGGTGGAGCCGTTTAATACTGGATCTTGTATGACAAGGGACTTGTTTGTAAATATGTCATAATCTTCATCATTTACATAAATTGTTTTTTGGTTAATATTGGTTTCATTGATTGAAATTTTTCTAAAAAAAATTATTAATTATTAATTTTTAAATTATGATTATAGTAAATATATATAAATGAATTATACTTACTTAAAAATTTTATAGTTTTTAAAATTATTATCTATTATAATTTTTTGTATCTCCATTGGTTTTTATTATATATTTGTTGTTGTTGTAGTTGTAATTATTGTATGTGTTTATGATAGAACTTAAAAAAATAATATAAAAAAAAGTAATAAAAGTGAAAAATGACAAAAATTTTAAGTGCACACACACACACACACACACACACATACACATACACATACACATACACATATTATGTTGTTTTTTTAATATATATATTATTGGGGGAGTTGAATCTGAAGATTTCTATGTTTTTATATTTAACAACTGTTATTGTTTTCCCATCTGATTGACTCTATTTATAAATTTTATTATGAATTAATAAAAATAAGAAGGGGTGGTGTATTTTGATAATTGAATATTCAAACATTGTGATTACATCTTTTTTTTTTTTTTTTTTAATTATTAAATTATAAAATTATTAAATTATTAAATTATTAAATTATTAAATTATTAAATTTTTTATTTTGGGAAAAAAAATTAAAAAAAAAAAAATTATAAAAAATAAAAATTTATTTAAAAAAAAATTTTGTTTTTTTTTGAAATTTTTTCAATTGAACTTGTGCATTTATCCCAAAACCTAACAGTATGGGTGCAATATTATAAATAAGAAATTTTTAAATTTTAAAAAATTTGTCCTTACGCATGGAACACACTCTAGCAAATGATCGATAAGAGATGCAGGGTTTATGCTTTTTGCAAACTATTTCCATAACCGCGATACGACTTGGTAAAACTTGTCGGATTGCAATTTTTGTAATATCCTCAATGGATAATATTTTAAAAAATTAAAGAAAAAAAAATAATACAAATATTTTTATATTTATTTCTTTTATTTGTTTTTTTTTTTTAATGGGTTAATGTTTTTTTTAGTTTAAATAGAAGCAGATCATGTTAAAAAAAAAAAATAATAATTAATCAGAAATAAAGTTATAAACCTTTTTTTTTTATCATAGGAAGATAAAGAAAAAGAAATATTTATAATAATAAAATAATATAAAATAATATAATTATAAAATAAATATAATAGAATTAAATAAATATATATTAAGTTTAAATTATTTAAATTAAATAAAGTTACAGTTTTTTTTTTTTTTTATTTATTTATTTATATTAAATTATAAAGGAATATTAGGATTTTTTGCTCTAAAATTTTGATTGTGTTCAAAAAAGTTATCGGGATTTAAACCATATTCGTTTGATAATTGGGAAAAGATACTTCTATTTTCAGCTCCCAAATATCTATTGTTATAAGAGTGGTATCTTGGTTCTATTAACATTCTATTTCCCAAAACAACACGGAAGAATCTTTGATTTTGAATATCGTTTACTACTATAGTCCAATCATGGGAATCAAACAAAAAATGCCAATCAGAAGCTAAAAGGACACCATTATCCAATCCATTATCTCTTTCTAAACGATATGGTTTAACATGTGCAGCCTCGACAGCTAAAGCAGAGTTGGTTACAAAGCAAAAGCATCCGTAATGTTCAATTAGCCCATTTCTAAATCTTACTTGGCCTTCACGAGTAGTAATAAGTGGTTGCATTTAATTAGAGTTTTTTTGTATAGTTTGATGATTAATAAAATAAAGTTTAAAAAATAAATTTTTTTTTTTTGTCTTTGTTTTTTATTTTTTTTTTTTTATAATTATAATTAATAAATATGAAAAAAATTCATATAAATTTAATATTAAATTTTTCCTAAAAGTATTTTTTAGTTTTTTGGGAGTAAAACAGTGTGCCAATAGTTTTGTTAATGTTGAGTGATCTTTTATGCGCCGTGTCAATATCGATAAAAAATAATAATAGCCAAAATTTTGTTTTTTTTTTAATTTTTTGTTTTTATCTTTTGCCCATCATTCGTAAATTCAAAAAAAAAAATGTAGATCTCGATATCAAATTAAAAACAACCACAAGTTTAAAAATTTATCATATAATAATTTATATTTTAAATTCGATTAAAAAAAAAAATTAAAGTTTAAAATGTCGACACTATACTATGAAGATTCTTGTTAGTTTTTTTTAATGAAAGCAAAATCTTGGGAAAATGAAAAGAAAAAATAAATAATAACTATTTTTTTTTCTATAAATAAACATCAATGATTTTTTTTTTTTTTATTCATATCTTATATTTACAAATTTATAAACATAGGTTTTTTTATAAATATTATTTTACTTTGCTATAGTTTTATTATTATAATTGGTTAATTGATTTTTCATTTATCTTTTTGCTCATTGTTTGTTTTTTCAAAGTAAGTTATACATAAATTAAATTTTCCCACTTTATTTAAAAAAAAAAAATTAAAAAAAATCACAATTTTTTTTTTTTTTAATTTTTATAATTTCATTTCGATGCATGACAATAATTATATATATATGTATAAAATATTTTTATAATGTAAACTAATATTCAGTTGTTTTTTTTTTTTTTAAAAAAAGAAATGAATACTTTAAAAAAAAAATCATTGGGTAGAACAGCATTTTTGGGTGATCAATATGATGTTAGATCAGATTCTTTTTTAACTACAAATATTTTCAAAGATCAAATACCAGAAGAAAAAATTCAAACTGCTGATGTTTCTGATTTAAGTTACGAATATTTTGTCTCAAGCTCTTCACAAGAAAAGTTTAGCAGTTTAGGTGTAGATGCTAATTTAAAGCTTAGTATCTTATCTGGTTTAATTGAAATCACCGGTTCTGCATCCTATTTAAAGGAAGATAATAGTGAAAAAAAAGTTGTTAGAGGTTCTTTAATTTATAAGATAGAAACCGTTTTAGATTCAATTAATATAAATCCACTTAAAAGTCTAATAGATATTGACAGCTTAAATAACAGCGAGGCTACTCATATTGTCACTAGAATTAAATATGGTGCAAATGTAATTGTTACATTTGAAAAGACTTATAGTGACGAGGCTAACAAGACCGAGGTATCTGGTTCTTTAAGTGCTGTTATGAAGAAAATTGGTGGCAGCTTTAGCATGGATGGTGATGTCTCTTTAAATCTCAAAGAGAACGAAAGAAAATTACTTGATGAATTTAAAATCAAATTTGTAGGTGATGTTATCCCAAAGAATGAAGAGATCCCAAGTAGTGTCGAAACTGCTTTAAATATTATGAAAAAGATACCAAAGTACTTAGAAACAGTCAACAAAGGCAAAGGTAAACCAGTTGAATATATGCTATTACCAATCGAAACTGTTCAAAGACAATTATCAATCGAAGCTGGATTAGAAAGAGTTTACAAAAATATCGGAGAAGATTTGATCAATCAGATTGAAGTGGAATTTGAACAATTAGCAGGTCATCAACTTGAACTAAAGGGTTTTTATGCAGAGCTACTCGAAATGAAAGATTACTTTAATATCAATCAACTATCACCAGTTTTTGACTTTATAAATAAAGTTTCAGTCAACGAAAAGACATTTAAAAAATCAATTTCAGAATTTATAGTCGCTGTTAGAAGTTGTACCAAAGAAATTTCATCTCTTGAAGAATGTGTCAACATTTATATTTCATCTGAATACTCATCTAACGGAATCAAAAAGTTCTTAGAACTATCACATCAAGCAAACCTTAAAAACCAACTTTCATTTATTCAAGAAATTAAAGCTTTAAATATTGATATTGTTTCCAAGACAATGAATAAATCTCAAATCCTCAAAAAATCTAATGATAATTGTAAGCTCTACATTCTCAACTACTACAATTCAACAAGAACAATGAGCCAAACATGGGATCCAATTTATATTTCAACTTTTATTACCAAATATAATGAAAAGAGAACAAACACCAAATTTGCAATCATTGATCTTGAAATTCATAACTCTTCACCAAACCAAGAGAATTCATCAAGCGATAGTACCTCTAAAGTCCCATTTATTGAACTATATATCAATCAAAAACTAAAGCAGTCAAATTTCAAAATTAACCAATTCTCAAATTTTTCTGAACGTTTTAAAGAAACTGATTTCAATTTTAATGGTAAAGCTCCAATGGATACACCATTTTTAAGACTAAAGTGCCCCGGTAAAGATTGTCCAAAGGTTCCAAAAGAGTGGAAATGTCTTATTTGTGATGAAGATTTAAAGTATAGCACCAAAACTCTTTATTGTCAATGTGGCTCATATCCAGTAACCAGCTGCACTTTTAAATGTTGTGAACCAGAGCATGGTAATGATTATTTCCAACTTCCAAACAATGAAAAGGACCAATTAAAATACTTACCACCAAGACCATTAACTCTATTATTATTGGGAGAGACAGGTGTCGGTAAATCTACATTCATCAATTCATTGGTTAACTATGCTTTATATCATAGTTTAGAAGATGCAATTAAAGGTGAAATAAAAGTATTAATTCCAATTAAATTTTCAATGGTTACAAACGGAGTCCAAAAAGAAATATCAATTGGTAATCAAACCAAAGATGAACATTTATCAGTTGGCCAATCATCCACTCAATCATGTCAAACCTATGTATTTTTAGATTTAAATCTAACAATCATTGATACTCCAGGTATTGGTGATGTTAGAGGTGTTGATCAAGATAAATCAAATTTTGAACACATTCTTAGCTATATCTCGAGATTCGATACAATTGATGGTATTTGTATTCTTTTAAAACCAAACGAAGCTAGAGAAACTGTACTTGCAACATATTGTTTTAAAGGTTTATTATCACAACTTAATAAAAATGCAGCTAAAAACATTGTATTTTGTTACACAAATTCACGTTCAACTTTTTACCAACCAGGTGACTCACATCCAAAAATTTTGAAGATGGTTCAAAGTTTAAACGTCCCAGATCTCAAGTATACATCTTCAAACACATTCTGCTTTGATAGTGAATCATTTAGATTCCTTGCAGCACTTAAACAAGGTATCGAGTTCAGCGAAGATCAAATTAAAGATTTCTCAAATAGCTGGAAAACCTCTGTTACATCAACCAACAATTTAATATCATATCTTAACTTGTTACCACCACACAATATCAGAAACACTACAAGCCTAAATGAATCAAGAAGATTAATCCACGCTTTATCAAGACCAATTGTCGAAATTACACAAATGATCGAAACTAAAGTCAATATTATTAAAATCAAGAAAAAGGAAATTGAAGACGACAATAGCGATTTAGAATCTCTTAAAAAGAAATTAATAGTTAGATACGATGATGTAGAAAGAAAAAATTTAGATCAACCAACCACTGTTTGTACAAACTCTACTTGTGTAAAAGTTATTAAGGGTAAAGATGGTAATGAAACCATTCACTATGCTCAAAGATGCCACGTTGGTTGTCAAATTAAAGGTCCAACCAACACCAAGAACTCTGCTGACTTAAAAAATTGTTGGGCTATTCAACAACATGACTTAAAATGCCATCAATGTAAGCACTCATGCCATTACACTAGCCATATGCATATTACCTACGAAACCTATCCTGTCACCAAGACTTTGGAAAATGCCGCCATTAAAGATCAGATCAATAAAGCCTCCAACAGCTGTCAACTCAAAGAAGAAGCAATTATTGAATTACAAAAAGAAATCGAAGCAAACAACAAAGAAAAAACAGAAATCATAAATATTAGTTCTAAACTTTCATTCTTTTTAAAGGAAAATTCAATTACTGGTTATGTTGATACTGTCATTGAATATTTGAAGATGTGTATCAAAACTGAAGATCTCAAGACAGATAAAACAAATAAAAAATCACTTGAAAAGAATTTATTAATATTTGAAGAACAAAATAGTATTTTACAAGCCGCCGTAAACAATTGTAGTGAATTAATTACTGTCGACCAAGTCCCTGTATTAATTGAAAAATTAAAGAAACTTCCAATCAATGGTCCAACATTAAAACTTCACATCGAAGGTAATGAATCTGATCAAATGACATCAAACTACAAACCAATTGTAATTAAACCAAAAGAAAAATCATTTTTATCAAATTTAAAATCAATATTCAAATAAAATAAATACATTCTTTTTCTAATTTAAATAATTAATTAAAACAACAATGATTGGTACTATTATGTTTTTTAATAAAATATTAATTAATAATTTTTATATAATCGTCATTTTATTGAAGAGGTGTGAATATAAACATCAAAACAGTTATAAATATCTTATAAAAAAAGAAAATGAAAAAAATTTTATACTAATTTTAGATAATTTAAATTATAATAATAACAAAATACTAATTTTTAATTAGTTTGTTATTAATAGATATTTCAATTGAAATTATTGTATAATTAAATAAAATGAAAGCCATTAGGATTTAATTTATGCTATAAAAAAATTTTAGTAATTTTTGCTCTAATTTTAATAAAGTTAATTTAAACCATAATACCAGCGATACTTCTATTTTCTACTTTACTTTTTATTATTTTTTAAAGTTTTTTTTAACACTTAATTTTTAAATTAATAATAATAAAAAAAATTAGAAGGGAGAAATAAAAAAAATTTGGTGTGAGAAAAATTAAATTTAAAAATTTGGTGAGTTTTTTTTTTTTTTTAAGTTTTTTTTTTAAGTTTTATAATTTTTTTTATTTTTTAATTTTTTTTTTAATATTTTTTTATAATTGATAAAAAAATATTATTTGTAAAAAACATTTTCTCTAAAATAATAAAGGGTCTACATGAATTTTATGGGCACTGTAAACCCTTATATTTTTAATAATTGAATATTAGGATTTATGGTATTAAAATTTTATTCATAAAGTTTTATTTTTTTAAACCATATTATTTTAATAATTAGGAAAAGATTCCTATTTTTAGCCTTTAAATATCTTTATTTTTATTTTTTAGTTTTTTTATAGTTTTTATATTAAAGTAATTTGGTTTTTTGAGAGTTAAAACAGTGTGCTATAGTTGTTAATGTTGAGTGATCTTTTATTCCTCTTGCATATTAAATCAATACATTTTTCAGTTTTTCAGGATTGTAAAATAAAAAATATATTTATGGAAACAAAATCTTGAGAAAATCAGCAGAAAAAATAAAAGCTTTATTTTTTTGAAAATATTTTTTTTTTTTCATTTTAAGATTTTGTAATAAAACCATTTTTTTCATTTTCCTAGGGATTTTATCATAAATAAATAGATTAATGAAAACTTTGGAAAATTTTTTTTATAATACTATTTTTTTCTATAAATAAGCTTTAATGTTTTTTTTTTTTATTATTCATTCATCATATTTTAGTTTTACAAACTTATAAATATTTATTTTTTTCTAAATTATCAATATTTTAATTTATTATTATTTCTAATACAATTGATTTTTCATTTTTCATTTTTACCATTGTTGGCTTTTTCAGAGTAAGTTTACAAATTTATAATTCCTGAAAAAAAAATTTATTGTTTTAATTTTTACACAAAATATTTTTAAAATGTAAACTAATATCCATTTGTTTCTATTTTTTTTTTTTATAAAAAAAGAAATGAATACTTTAAAAAAAAAATCATTGGGTAGAACAGCATTTTTAGGTGAACTATATGATATAAGGTCAGATTCTTTTTTATATACAAATATTTTCAAAGATCAAATACCAGAAGAAAAAATTCAAAATGTTGATGTTTCTGATTTAAGTTACGAATATTTTGACTCAAGCTCGTCACAAGAAAAGTTTAGTAGTTTAGGTGTAGATGGCAATTTAAAGCTTAGTATCTTATGTGGTTTAATAGATATCACAGGTTCTGCATCGTATTTAAAGGAAGATAACAACCAAAAAAAAGTTGTTAGAGGTTCATTAATTTACAAAATAGAAACCTTTTTAGATTCAATCAATATAAATACACTTAAAAGTCTAATAGATATTGACAGCTTAAACAACAGCGAGGCTACTCATATTGTCACTAGAATTAAATATGGCGCAAATGTAATTGTTACATTTGAAAAGACCTATTGTGATGATGCTAACAAGAACGAGGTATCTGGTTCTTTGAATTCTCTAATGAAAAAAATTGGTGGCTGTTTTAGCATGGATGGTGATGTCTCTTTAAATCTCAAAGAAAACGAAAGAGAAATACTTGATGAATTTAAAATCAAATTTGTAGGTGACGTTATCCCAAATAATGAAGAAATCTCAAGTAATGCCAAAGATGTTTTAAATATTATGAAAAAGATACCAAAGTACTTAGAAACAGTCAACAAAGGCAAAGGTAAACCAGTTGAATATATGCTAATACCAATCGAAACTGTTAAAAGACAATTATCAATCGAAACTGGATTAGAAAGAGTTTACAAAAATATCGGAGAAGATTTAATCAATCAGATTGAAGTGGAATTTGAACAATTAGCAGGTCATCAACTTGAACTAAAGGGTTTTTATGCAGCGTTACTCGAAATGAAAGATTACTTTAATATCAATCAACTATCACCAGTTTTTGACTTTATTAATAAAGTTTCAGTCAACGAAAAGACATTTAAAAAATCAATTTCAGAATTGATAGTCGCTGTTAGAAGTTGTACCAAAGATATTTCATCTCTTGAAGAATGTGTCAGCAGCTATATTTCATCTGAATACTCATCTAACGGAATCAAAAAGTTCTTAGAACTATCACATCAAGCAAACCTTAAAAACCAACTTTCATTTATTCAAGAAATTAAAGCTTTAAATATTGATATTATTTCAAAGACAATGAATAAATCTGAAATCATTAAAAAATCAAATAATAATTGTAAGCTCTACATTCTCAACTACTACAATTCAACAAGAACAGTGAGCCAAATATGGGATCCAATTTATATTTCAACTTTTATTACCAAATATAATGAAAAGAGAACAAACACCAAATTTGCAATCATTGATCTTGAAATTCATAACTCTTCACCAAACCTAGAGAAATCATCAAGCGATAGTACCTCTAAAGTCCCATTTATTGAACTATATCTCAATCAAAAGCTAAAGCAATCAAATTTCAAAATTAACCAATTCTCAAATTTTGCTGAGCGTTTTAAAGAAACTGGTTTCAATTTTAATGGTAAAGCTCCAATGGATACACCTTTTTTAAGACTAAAGTGTCCCGGTAAAGATTGTCCAAAGGTTCCAAAAGAGTGGAAATGTCTTATTTGTGATGAAGATTTAAAGTATAGTTCTAAAACTCTTTATTGTCAATGTGGCTCATATCCAGTAACCAGCTGTACTTTTAAATGTTGTGAACCTGAGCATGGTAACGATTATTTTCAACTTCCAAACAATGAAAAAGACCTATTAACATTATTACCACCAAGACCATTAACTCTATTATTATTGGGAGAGACAGGTGTCGGCAAATCTACATTCATCAATTCATTGGTTAACTATGCTTTATATCATAGTTTAGAAGATGCAATTAAAGGTGAAATAAAAGTATTAATTCCAATTAAATTTTCAATTGTTACAAACGGAGTCCAAAAAGAAATATCAATTGGTAATGAAACTAGAGATGAGCATTTATCAGCTGGCCAATTATCCACTCAATCATGTCAAACCTATGTATTTTTAGATTTAAACTTAACAATCATTGATACTCCAGGTATTGGTGATGTAAGAGGTGTTGATCAAGATAAATCAAACCTTGAACACATTCTTAGCTATATCTCAAGATTCGATAAAATTGATGGTATTTGTATTCTTTTAAAACCAAACGAATCAAGAGAAACTGAACTTGAAAAATATTGTTTCAAAGGTTTATTATCACAACTGAATAAAAATGCAGCTAAAAATATTGTATTTTGCTTTACAAATACAAGTTTAACTTTTTACCAACCAGGTGACTCACATCCAAAAATTTTGAAGATGGTTCAAAGTTTAAATGTTCCAGATCTCAAGTATACATCTTCAAACACATTCTGCTTTGATAGTAAATCATTTAGATTCCTTGCAGCACTTAAACAAGGTATCGAGTTCAGCGAAGATCAAATTAAAGATTTCTCAAATAGCTGGAAAACCTCTGTTACATCAACCAACAATTTAATATCATATCTTAACTTGTTACCACCACACAATATCAGAAACACTACAAGCCTAAATGAATCAAGAAGATTAATCTACGCTTTATCAAGACCAATTGTTGAAATTACACAAATGATAGAATACAAAGTCAATATTATTAAAATCAAGAAAAAGGAAATTGAAGATGACAATAGTGATTTAGAATATCTTAAAAACAATTTAATGGTTAAATATTATGATTCCGAAAGAAGAGATTTAGATCAACCAACCACTGTTTGTACAAACTTTTCTTGTGTAAAAGTTATTAGTAAGGATAAAGATGGTAATGAAACCATTCACTATGCTCAAAGATGCCACGTTGGTTGTCAAATTAAAGGTCCAACCAACACCAAGAACCCTGACATAAAAGAATGCTCAGCTTTTCGAAAGAGTGACTTAAAATGCAGTCAATGTAAGCATTCATGCAGTTACACTAGTCATATGATAATTACATATGAAACATATCCTGTCATCAAGACAATAGAAAATACCATCATTAAAGATAAGATAAAAAAAACCACCGACAGCTGTCAACTCAAAAAAGAAGCAATTATTGAATTAGAAAAAGAAATCGAAGCAAATAACAAAGAAAAAACAGAAATCATAAATATTAGTTCTAAACTTTCATTCTTTTTAAAGGAAAATTCAATTACTGGTTATGTTGATACTGTCATTGAGTATTTGAAGATGTGTATCAAAACTGAAGATTACAAGACAAATAAAAAAAGTAAAGAATCACTTGAAAAGATTTTATCAATTTTTGAAGTACAAAATAAAATTTTACAAGATTCCGTAGGCAAATGTAATGAATTAATTACTGTCGACCAAGTCCCTGTACTAATTGAAAAATTAAAGAAACTTCCAATCAATGGTCCAACATTAAAATGTCACATCGAAGGTAATGAATCTGCTCAAATGACCTCAAACTACAAACCAATTGTAATTAAACCAAAAGAAAAATCATTTTCCTCAATTTTAAAATAAAAATTAAATAACTAAAAAAACTTAAAATTAAATTAATAAAAGTCCTGTTAACCTTTGATTCATTCTAATTAAAGGGATTAGTCAAAAATAGGTGGTTAACGATTAAAATAAAAATTATAATTAGCACAAAAGTAATTTCATTATAAAAAATTTTAATTTAAAAATTAAAAAAGAATCATCTTTCAGAGGGTTTGGATTCTTATCTCTTTATTGATAATAAAAAATGATTCACAATCAACATAAAATAAAATAAGAATCCAAACCCTCTGAAAGATGATTTTAGTTTCCAGGACCATAATAGAAAATGTTTCCCCAAAACAATGCATTATCTCCACCTTTTCTAACACTTGTTTTAGTATTTTAATCTAGTAAAACATTAGATTCATAGGCTCAAGATCCATATCATTGTATTTATTAAATATTTGAAACGTGATTTCATCCATAAACATAAGATTTTCCATTTGTTCTACAGTTCAGTATTATGTTGAATAAGTTATTCAAAATCATATCTTTTTCTTCTTTTAACTTTTTTTAATGGATGTTTCATGAATTTCTTTTTATAAATAATAGTATACGTTTTGATTGATCAGTCAGGTATGGTGTATCTAGTTGTTGATTCCTACCAAACACTGCTTTTTTTAAATTCTCCTCCACCATTCAAAAATTTGAAACAAATTGGAAGTTTATCTCTTTCGAGAATCTTTTTTTCATTTCCAGAGCGTTAATTGTCATTGATTTAACCTTTTTGTTCATATCTTTGAATTTTTTTTGCCAACGTTTTGTAAATACCCAATTTTTTGCATTTTTATTATTGGAGTATTGGTCTCTGCTTTTGTATAACAATATTGAGTAACTAAGTTCATCACTTAACCTCACTTTGTTTATTATATTTACACTATTTTCAGTTTGTTAAAATTTATAATGATATAAAAAAAATTTTAAAAGTTTGAAAATTAAAAAGAGATAAATATTTAAATTTATTTTAATTTTTTTTTTTTTTACCCCTATTTTCAACACTTTTTTTTATTATTATTATTAATTATTTTTGGGCTGTGCCAGTATTAATTAAAAAAAACCATCCAAATAAATCAATATAACACATATTAAACAACATCAGGGGGTCTACCATATACCTCGGGCACTGTATTTGTGAATATTTTATCCAAATTTTTTTCGAAAATAATTTATTATTTTATTATTATTATTTATAGAGCTATTTAAACTGTGTAGAACAAAATGTATTTTTATTTTAAAAAAAATATAATGATTCTGATTGTTTTTATTTTTTCGTATTCACAATAAACTAAAAATACAATATAATATTCATTTTTTAATAAAAACCAAAAGGTTGAATTATTTTTTTAATAAATTTGTAAAACTAAAACAAGATAAAAAAAAAACAAAAACATTAATAATTTATAAAAAAAAATTATTTTGATAAGGTTTTTATTTTTTTTATTTTCCCAATGATTTTGTTTTAATAAAACAATTTTTATGATAAAATCTTGGGAATATAAAAAAAAATTGGGTTGTTTTTTAATGGATAAATTTTTTATTTTTTTTTTAATTTTTTATTTTTATTTTTAAATTTTATTAATTATACTATTTTTTTTATTTTCCTTTCAAAAACCTTCACAAAACCATATACCTTTATATTATGATATTGATTATTGTTTTTATTTAAAAAAAATAATAAAATATATATTTTTTTCTATATTATCAATTGATTTTTCATTTATCTTTTTTCTCAATGTTTGTTTGTTCAAAGTAAGTTAAAATTTTTATGATTAAGGAGGTTTGTTAAATATAAGGGTAAATTTTTTTCAAGTGTATACACAATATAACCCTAATTATAATTAACCCACCTAAAAAATTTACACTATTTTTTTACTACATTTTAATCCTCGTTCTGTTCTTAAAAAATATTTACATAAAATAGTTAATTATGAAAACTAATATTCAATTGTTTTTATATTTTTTAAAAAAAAAGAAATGAATTCATTAAAAAAAAATCATTGGGTAGAACGGCATTTTTGGGTGATCAATATGATGTTAGATCTGATTCTTTTTTAACTACAAATATTTTCAAAGATCAAATACCAGAAGAAAAAATTCAAACTGCTAATGTTTCTGATTTAAGTTACGAATATTTTGTCTCAAGCTCGTCACAAGAAAAGTTTAACAGCTTAGGTGTAGATGATAATTTAAAGCTTAGTATCTTATGTGGTTTAATTGAAATCACCAGTTCTGCATCGTATTTAAAGGAAGATAACAACAAAAAAAAAGTAGTTAGAGGTTCGTTAATTTACAAGATAGAAACCTCTTTAGATTCAATCGATATAAAAACACTCGAAAGTCTAATAGATATTGACAGCTTAAACAACAGCGAGGCTACTCATATTGTCACTAGAATTAAATATGGAGCAAATGTAATTGTTACATTTGAAAAGACTTATAGTGATGAGGCAAACAATTCTGAGGTATCTGGTTCTTTAAGTGCTGTTATGAAAAAAATTGGTGGCAGCTTTAGCATGGATGGTGATATCTCTTTAAATTTAAAAGAAAGTGAAAGAAAAATACTTGATGAACTTAAAATCAATTTTTTTGGTGATGTTATCCCAAAGAATGAAGAAATCCCAGATAGTTCTGAAGCTGCTTTAAATATTATGAAAAATATACCAAAGTACTTAGAAACAGACAACAAAAGCAAAGGTAAACCAGTTGAATATATGCTATTACCAATCGAAACTGTTAAAAGACAATTATCAATCGAAACTGGATTAGAAAGAGTTTACAAAAAAATTGGAGAAGATTTAATCAATCAAGTCGAATTGGAATTTCAACTATTAGCAGCCCATAAACTCGAATTAAAGAGTCTCTATGCAAAGCTACTCGAAATGAAAGATTTCTTTAACATCAATCAACTATCACCAGTTTTTGACTTTATTAATAAAGTTTCAGTCAACGAAAAGACATTTAAAGAATCAATTTCAGAATTGATAGTCGCTGTTAGAAGTTGTACCAAAGATATTTCATCTCTTGAAGAATGTGTCAACATTTATATTTCATCTGAATACTCATCTAACGGAATCAAAAAGTTCTTAGAACTATCACATCAAGCAAACCTTAAAAACCAACTTTCATTTATTCAAGAAATTAAAGCTTTAAATATTGATATTGTTTCAAAGACAATGTATAAATCTGAAATAATCAAAAACTCAAATGATAATTGTAAGCTCTACATTCTCAACTACTACAATTCAACAAGAACAATAAATCAAATATGGCATCCAATTTATATTTCAACTTTTATTACCAAATATAATGAAAAGAGAAAAAAAACAAAATTTGCAATCATTGATCTTGAAATTCATAACTCTTTACCAAACCAAGAGAATTCATCAAGCGATAGTACCTCCAAAGTCCCATTTATTGAACTATATATCAATCAAAAACTAAAGCAATCAAATTTCAAAGTTAAGCAAATCTCAAATTTTGCTAAGTTTTTTAAAGTGGCTGATTTCAATTTTAATGATAAAGCTCCAATAGATACACCATTTTTAAGACTAAAGTGCCCAGGTAAAGATTGTCCAAAGGATCTAAAAGAGTGGAAATGTCTTATTTGTGATGAAGATTTAAAGTATAGCTCCAAAACTCTTTATTGTCAATGTGGCTCATATCCAGTAACCAGCTGTACTTTTAAATGTTGTGAACCAAAACATGGCAACGGTTATTTCCAACTTCCAAACAATAAAATGGACCAATTAAAATACTTTCCACCAAAACCACCAAAACCACCTAAACCGTCAAGATCAATTTCTCTATTATTAATGGGAGAGACAGGTGCCGGTAAATCTACTTTCATCAATTCATTGGTTAACTACTCTTTATATAATAGTTTAGAAGATTCAATAATTCCAAATAAAATTTCAATTGTTACAAACGGAGTCCAAAAAGAAATATCCATTGGTAATGAAACTAAAGATGATTATTTATCAGTTGGCCACTCATAGTTTAGAAGATGACATTGAAAATATTATTTTAGAAGATGGTTATAAAGAAAACCAAAAAGAAATTTGAATTGGTCTGATAAAAAATAAAAAACATGGTCACAATATTTTTCCTTTTTTTTTAATTTTTAAATTTTATTTATATTTTTTTTTACAACTAACTAAAAAATAATAAAAAATATTTTTTAATAATTGAAATATCATGTGCTTCATATATTGAGTAGATTATCGCAAGAAGAAATTCATATAATGATTCAATGATTTGATGTTTCAATTAAATAAAATTAACTTTGGCATAATCCAACATGGCAAATTAGGGCATAAAGCTTTTTTGATACCCCTTTCTTTAACAATTGACCTTAATTTTCAATAATATTAATATCTGGAATGTGTGTAGTAATGGATCAACCTAAGCTTTGCTTCATCTATTAAATTATGGGTTTTTCAATGATTTATTACACCTAATTTTTGAGTTTGACAAATAATCCCTATTATTATATGTTACAGTTAGTTGCATAAATTTTGCAACAAGCATTTTGATTTTAGAAATTGTTAAATATCTATGAAGAATTTTTAAATTAAAAAATATTGTTTGTTTTAAATAAAATTATAAGTGTCGGTTATTTAAAATTTTTGTTTGCCATTTTTTTAAATTTTATTTTTTTTTATTTTTTTTTATTTTTTTTTTTTATTGTCATTATTTGTTTGATGCAAAATTTTTGATAAATAACTTTGAGTGTATGTATATTTTTAATAAAAATTTATATTTTTATTTTTTCATATATTTACAAACATAGTTTAAAAGATAATTAAATTTTAAATTAAAATAGCTCTTTAATTAGAAAAAAGAGAGTTAGTTTTAGAAAATTTTCTCAAAGGAAAAAGTGATCAAGAAATCGCAAATATTTTTTGGTGTAAATAGGTCAACCATTTACCGAATTCGAAAACAATATCAAAAAACAAACTCAATTAATCCAAAACAAATTCCAGGAGTTCCAAGAAAGTATACTTTTGAAACAAAAAAAATTTGCAAAAAATACACACTAAATGGTCAATCAAATAATGCATTAGTTTACCTAAGCTTGCCCAAAGATCATTGGGTATAAAACTTTCAACTTCAACAATTAGAAGAATTCTAAAGAGACAAAACATTTTTTATAATTATTTGTAATGCAAGCATTATTTTACAAAAGAAACTGAGATGCAAAGGTATACTTACCTAAAAAAATTTAAAAATTATACCACAGAAAATTGGAAACAGGTGATTTTAGCAGATGAAACCAAAATTGTAAGATTTTCTTAAAAATAGAGGCATAAAAGATGGATTCAGGGCAGTAGATGAAAGAAGAAAATATTTTAAAAAGAAAAAGACCATCTGTAATTTCAAAATTTTTTTGGGGTTGCATTACTTTGCATGAGTTTGGTTGTGGAGCCTATATTAATGGTAACATGGATGGCGATACCTACATAAATGTAATGGGAGATGAATATATGGAAACATTAAAAGACTATGAAATTGATTTTTTTAAAGTCACTCTTTTTCAAGATAACTGCTCTGTCCATAAGTCAGCTGCTGTTAAAAAATAATATGAAGAAAATAACATTAGAGTACAATTTATTCCACCCTCTTCACCAGATTTAAATATAATAGAAAACCTATGGTCAATCTTAAAAAAACGTTTAGTTCAACGTCGCATCGCCAAACCTCATGAACCTTTCGATGAATCAATTCATCTTATTTGGTTTAATATTGAACAATCATTTTTAAATAAATTAAATGAATCAATTTCAACCAGAATAAATAAAATAATTCAAAATAGAGGTGAATTCACTAAATATTAATAAATTATAATAACTACAAATTTTTTTATAAAAAAATTTCAAAAAAACCTTTACTCAAAATCTTTATTCTAAAATTTTGCAACATAGAAATAATAATAATAAAAAAAAAAAATAAAAAAAAAATATTATTTTTTTTTTCTTACAACCTTTAAAATATATTTTATTTAAGTATAGATTAAATGATTTTTATTTATGTTACTCCGAAAATCCAAAATTTAAACCATAAAATTTTATTATATAAATTGCAAAAATAATATGTGTGTTGCAAAATTTATGCAACTAACTGTAATATTGAGAATCGAATTTCATCACTTAACTTTTTATTATTTTTTAAGTTTTTGTATCACTTAATTATTAATTTAATAATAATAAATTAGCAGGGGGAAATTTGTAGAGTGAGAAAATGTTTAGAATTTGGTGTGTTTTTTTTTGTTATTTCAAATTTGGTTGGACTTGATAATAAAAAAAAAAAATTTATATTTTTTGAAATTTTTTTTTTTTTTTTAATATTTTTTTTAATTATTCAAATAAAAATTTTATTTTTAAAAGACATTTTTTATGGGTGTTATAAAAAATAAATTTTTTTAAAATAGTTACAAAGTTCTTTTTTTTTAATATTAATGAATAAAGGAATATCAGGATTTTTGGAATTAAAATTTTGAAAATCCGGAAAAGATTTTCCTATTTTTAGGGCCTAATATCTTTATTTTGTTTTTTTGTTTTTTTATAGTTTTTATATTAAAGTAATTTGGTTTTTTGAGAGTTAAAACAGTGTGCAAATAGTGTGTTAATGTTAATCTTAAAGATCACTCAGTTGAGTGATCTTTATTAAATAAACACATTTTTTTCAGTTTCCCAGCATTATCAAATAAAAAAATATATTTATGGAAACAAAATCTTAAGAAAATCATTAGAATAAATAAAAGCTTTATTTTTTTGAAAATATTTTTTTTTTTTCATTTTAAGATTTTGTAATAAAAACATTTTTTTCATTTTCCTAGGGATTTTATTATAAAAAATTGATTAATGAAAACTTTTTTAATCCTATTTTTTTTTTCTATAAATAAGCATGTTTTTGTTTTTTTTATTTATTCATTCATCATATTTTAGTTTACAAACTTATAAATATTTATTTTTTTCTAAATTATATTTTAATTTATTATTTCTTTTAATAAAATATATCAATTGATTTTTCACTAATCTTCTTCCTCACTGTTAGTTTTTTCAAAGTAAGTTATACACCTCAATTATTTAAAATTAGAGATTAAAAATTATCTTTATTCTCAGTTTTTACCCATTATCGTTATCTTATTCATTTAAAAATTTTTTTTAAAAGTTATCTTTTTTTTTAAAAAAAATTATCTCTTTTTTTAAAAAAAATTATTCATTTTTATCGATTTTTATAATTTGCAAATAGATGTAAAATAACAGCACAAACACACCCATCACAATTTTTCTCTTTTCCGCCTTTCTTTTAATTTTTTTTTAAAATTTCTTTTAATTTTTTTTAAACATTTTATTTATTTTTTTTTTTATTTTTTTTTTAATTATAATCCGCGCTTTTTTAAAAATTTTTTTTAAATTTTGAATTTTATTAATTATAATATTTTTATTTTCCTTTCAAAAACCTTCACAAAACCATTTTGAAACTAACACTAATATTATGGTGCTATTTTTTACTTGTGTTGATGCTTATTCACACCTCTTTAAAAATAAAATGACAATATTATATTTCAAAAAAAAAAAAAACTATAAAAATAAATCATATTTTTAAATAAATACTAAAAACGAATATAATATTATTTTCTTTTTTATTAATAAAAAACTCAACCAATACAAAACCAAAACAAAAGGTCGAATTATTGTTTTTTTTTTTTTTTTTTTTTTTCCAAAAAAACAATAATCAATATTAAATTATAATATACGTATTCATAATTCTACACATTTTCTAAATTAGCTCTATAAATAGACCAAAAAATTTTATTTTCAATTTTTTTTTTTTTTTTTTACAAAAATATTTTATAATTTTATAAATTATTATCCTTTTTTTATATTTTTTTTTTTTTTTTTATCGACTTTTATTCTTTTTTTTTAAATCTTCCAAGTGATACAAAAAGGATAACGATAAAGATAATTTTCAACCTCTATTTAAAATTAATAAAAAAAATAAAAAAAATTTTTTTTATTTTTTTTTATTAATATTTCAAGTGTTTTAATGAGTCAAAATCACAATATTTATTCAGTATACACAATATATAACCATTTAACAAAACTACAAAAAATTTATAGTTTTTTTCTTTTTCATTTTTATCCTCACAAATTTTTTATAATTTCATTTTATTTCAACACACCTAATAAAATAATATATTAATATTTTATTTTTTTTTTTTAAAAAAAAAGAAATGAATACTTTAAAAAAAAAATCATTGGGTAGAACAGCAATTTTGGGTCAACTATATGATGTTAGATCAGATTCTTTTTTAAATACAAATATTTTCAAAGATCAAATACCAGAAGAAAATATTCAAACTGCAAATGTTTCTGATTTAAGTTACGAAAATTTTGCATCAAGCTCGTCACAAGAAAAGTTTAACAGCTTAGGTGTAGATGGCAATTTAAAACTAAGTATCTTATGTGGTTTAATAGATATCACCGGTTCTGCATCCTATTTAAAGGAAGATAACAACGAAAAAAAAGTTGTTAGAGGTTCATTAATTTACAAGATAGAAACCTCTTTAGATTCAATCGATATAAAAACAAATTCACTTAAAAGTCCAATAGATATTGACAGCTTAAACAACAGCGAGGCTACTCATATTGTCACTAAAATTAAATATGGTGCAAATGTAATTGTTACATTTGAAAAGACTTTTAAAGACGAGTCTAACAAGAAGGAGATATCTGGTTCTTTAAGTGATATTATGAAAAATATTGGTGGCTGCTTTAGCATGGATGGTGATTTCTCTTTAAAAGAAAACGATAGAAAATTACTTGGTGAATTTAAAATCAAATTTTTTGGTGAAATTATCCCAAAGAATGAAGAAATCCCAAATAGTGTCGAAGCTGCTTTAAATATTATGAAAAAGATACCAAAGTACTTAGAAACAGTCAACAAAGGCAAAGGTATACCAGTTGAATATATGCTACTACCAATCGAAACTGTTCAAAGACAATTATCTATTGAAAATGAATTAAAAAGAGTTTATAAAAATATCGGAGAAGATTTAATCAAACAGATTGAAGTGGAATTCGAACAATTAGCAG